CCCCCCCGCGCCCCCGCCCACACGAGAGCCCGCGAACTGACGACCGTGCGTGCTGTGGTCCCGTTACTACCACACGGCAGTGCGCTGCTGTTTGCGATCCTCGCGCTCGGCGTCTTCTCCGACTTTTCGCGCCCGCCACCGCCGTCGTCCGCCTCGTCGCCTCGGTCGCCCCCGCCTCCACCTCAGGACGAAAGGCAGAAGGACGAAGAGTCCACGCGATACATCCACCTGTCGCGGGCGGCGCTGAACCTCCAACCGGTGTTCGACAGGCCGCCGTGCGTGAGCACGGTGCAGACGCTCAGCTTCATGGCGACGCACAAATCGCTGCAAGTGGAAGAGGATAGCGTTGAGGGTGCCTGTAAGTCGCCCATATGTTACGTTTAACCACATCTTGAAAGGTGTTCTGAACGATGGTCGGTTTTGTAGGGGCATTCAGGGGCATGAGCGCAAAACTGGCGCAGAGCCTGGAGCTTCATCGCGACTGCTCACGCTTCCGGCTGAGTGCGCATGAGGCTCAGAAGCGGAGATCGCTCTTTTGGCATATATGTTTCACGGATTGTATGATGGTCGGTGGAGTCGCTGCACATATATTCAGGAATATATCTAACGTTTCTCTCCACAGAGCTTGGCGACCGGGCGACTACCGACGTTCGACTTGGCCTTCATCGATTGCGCGCTACCGGACGAAACCGTCGACGGTGCGTACGGGGCTGACACCCTCGCTGCGATCGCATCAGAACGTACGTCCCCCCTTCTTCGGCCCCGTTCCCTCCGGCGCTCAAACCCACTCCTCCCTGCGTATCCCCTTCCATCTGGTCTTCCTGCTCGCAGTCACCCTAAACTGATTTCTTCTTCCTCCTCTCTGCCTTTTTTCCCCGGTGCTTGGCTCACCGCCCGCGCAGTTTACGCCTGGAAAGCCCGGTTCGCCCGAGACTGCCTCGTGCCGGTGTGCCACGGAATCCTCACCGCCAAAGCACCCGCGTACGCGACCATCCTCGCGCTCGACCGCACCGTGCGCGACGCGGAGATGCCCCTCTACTCCCGCGTAACCCCGAGCCCGAGCGCGGCCGACTTTGGCACGCTCATGCACCACTTCATCCCCCGTTCCTACCGGGACCAAAGTGCGCAATCCTTCCTCTCTCTCTCTCTCTCACGTCCTCGCCTTCTCTTTCTCTGACGTCCACCCTTTTATATCTCTTTCTATCTTATCCTCTCCCGGATCTCGCTGCGTGCGGTGTTTGCCCGTCCTCCAGCCCTGCTATACATCCACCGGTGCTATTTTGCACAGGCGGTGTGCGATCAGCCGGCAGACCCACTCAAGAGCCCGTACGCGCCCTCGTTCCTCGCCGCCTACCGCAGCGCGTGCAACATCCTCAACACGCTCAAGGAGATTGCGGAGGTATACCCCGCCGAGCTCGCGCGATGCGGCGAGCTCTGGTCCCACGCTTTCTCCAGTGCGGTGCGTAAACCTACTTCCCCGCCTTCTTTCTATTTTTCTACCCCTTCCCCGTCTTTTCTATCTATTCTATTCTTTGCTCGTACCCTCGTTGTTCTCGGAGATTGCGTAAGCGCGGAGGCTAATCATAACCCTTCTCTTCTGTTGTTGTTGTTGTTTGTACCTATCCAGGTGATGCTCGCCTCGGTCGTGACCCACGCGCCCAGGAGCAAGGTGTCGAACGTGGCGCTCATGGAGCTCAAGCAGGCGTGCGACCTGTTCGAGAAGGTCGCCGCGCACAAAGGGCGACCCGCAAAGTTCCTGGTAAGTCGACTTGTTTTCACGATGGCCCATTTCTCCCTCGCGCGCGGGGTACCTTAACCTCGACCCGGGCCTGTCCGTCACGTTCAATCGAACCGCCCTGTTCCTTATCTCTCTCCCGTTCCTTACCTCCGACCGTAAAAATGACGAAAAAAAAACGCTGATCCTTCCACCCTCTTCTCGTTCCTACAGCCGATCTTACAGCGCCTGATGCGCAAAGCGGACCGCAAGCTAGCCGGGCTCGCGCTCGACCGCTCCTCGGCGCTCGACGCGCTCGACGAGCGGCTCGACGCCGCCGCAGACGACCACCTCGTCGGGTACGCGCGCCTGCGTTCCCTCGCCCGGAGCAGCCTCCTCGACTTCCCGACGACCACCGGCACGGGTTACAGGCAGCACGCCGAGTCGGCGCAGCGCACCCCGATCGGGGGGTCGCCCTATCCCACGTCCGGCGACGCGGAGTCGTGGGAAGGGGCGGGGGTAGGGGCGCCGATCGAGGAGGAGGAGGAGGAGGAAGAGGGGGAGGGGGCGAGGGGGGCGAGGGGCGTGCGCGGCCGCCGCTGAACCTGCAGGAGACGTGGACGAGCTTTTTGCGGCAGCTCGACCTGCCGCCGACCGACCTCGCGTACACGTACGTCGGCAACTTGGGGCCGGGCGCGGTGGTCGGGGCGATGGACGGGGCGGGGATGCGGCATCCGTGGGCGGGGATGGGGATGGGGACGGACGAGGACAACGTCGGAGGGCGGGCGACGGTGTAAGGGGGTGGCGGGCGCAAGTTATTTTGGGGTCTGCTGGCTGGGTTTCTCGTTTGTTTTTTTCCATGTGTTCCGCGCTTGCTTTCTTTTCTGCTGTGTGCCGTTTGGACTTTTCCTCTCTCTCTTCGCGAAAGAAGAAACCGTTTTGCGGGGTTTTATTACAAATGTGGATATAGTATGTGTGAGATCCCTCCGGGGCGACAAAGCAAATACACGACTAAATAGTTCTACAAACCGATGATATCTGTCTCTCTCAAGTATACGAGGAAACCTGAGGCAAATGGGTCACCGCGCCCTCATCTGCTCCTCGTCGCCGAGAAGCCGCGTCTCTTCTTCTTCTTCCTCCTCCTCCTCCTCTTCCTCTTCGTCGCTCTCGTCATCGACGTCGATCTTGCCCTCCCTGATCCCGAACGTCACGAGCGCGCCAAGCACCGCGACGCCCGCGAGCACCGCCCAGGCGAGTATCCCTCGGCCTCCCCCGCTGGTGGCGAAGGAGAACAGCCCGCCCGCGGCGAAAGGGCCGAGGGCGCGGCCGGCGGCGGCGAGCGTCTGGGCGAGGCCGTTGAGCGCGCCGAGCGAGGCGCGGGAGGGCGCGGCGTTGGTGATGAGGAGCGCGAGCGTGGTCAGGCCGAGGACGGTGCCGACCGTCCTCAACAGGAGCACCGCGGAGAGCTCCGTCCAGAAGAGGGCCTCCGCCTTGGTGTGGCGGGAGGAAGGGGGGGAGGGGCGGCAGGCGACGAAGGGGGTGAGGAGGAAGGCGAGGGCGAAGAGGGCGAGGGAGGCGCGGACGCCGCGGATGGAGCCGAGGGCGGCTTGGATGCGGACGAAGGCGGCGAGCTGGAGGAGCATGCCGGCGAGGGAGGAGGCGGCGAGGGCGGCGCCGATCTCGGGGGCGGAGAGGGCGCGGCCGGCGGGCGGGGGGAGGGGCGGCGAAGGGGGGGAAGAGGGTGGCGTGCGTGGTGAGGGCGAGGTTGAAGAGGAGGGCGGTGGCGAGGAGGGAGAGGGTGGGCAAGGTGAGGAGCGAGCGGAAGGGGATGGTGGAGGAGGGGTGCGGAGGGCTGTGGCGGTGTGGCGGGAGGGAGAGGGAGAGGGAGGAGGCGCGGGAGAGGAGCGAGGGCGCGATAGAGGCGAGCGAGCGGCGCGGGTGGAGGAGCGGGGTGCGTTCCGACGTCGTCGTCGTCGCCGTTCCGGGGGCGATGTGGATCGTGGCCAGCCGGCGGCGTTTGGGGCAGGACGGGCGGCGGAAGAGGGCGCGGAGGCGGGCGGAGAGGGGCCGCACGCCTTGGCGGCTCTCGCGCATGAAGCAGGCGACGACAAGGAAGTCGAGGCCGAGCAGGGCGGCGATGGCGACGTTCGGGAGGAGGAACGGGTGCGCGGCGAGGAGCGGCGAGGACGAGAGCGGGCGCGCGGTGCGAGCGAGGGCGCCGCCGATGAGCGGGCCGAGGAGACCGCCGGCGCCGTAGACGACGGGGAGATACTGGAACGAGCGGCTCTGGTTCGAGGCGTCGGTGATCTCGCCCATGATCGTGTTCACGACGCCTATCGCGGGTGCATGTCAGGCGGGGTAGGTAAGATGTATAGAGAGAGAGAGATAACGCACCGCCGTTGCCGTTGACGGCGCCCATGGCTGCCTGCACCGCGATCGCCGCGCCCACCGATCCGCACATGCCGAACGCGACGAAGCCCGCCGCCGTGAGCGCGGTACCGAGGAGGAGCACGGGCTTGCGCCCGACGCGGTCGCTCGCCCAGCCCCAGAAGAAGTTGGTGAGGAGCTGGGCGACGGCGAACGCGGTGCTGAGGGCGCCCGCGTAAAAGCCGACGTCGGCCGGCTCGACGCCGGGAAGGGAGAGGAGGAGGGCGGGGAGGTACGGGCCGACGGAGTTGAACGCGGTCTGCTCGGCGAGGAGGACGAGGGCGAGGCAGGCGAGCTGCAGCTTTGGGATCGGCGTCGGGGGTGGGGCGCCGGGGCCCTGGTGCGCGCCATCGTCGCTCTCGTTATCCGCCGTCTCTTCTGTGCCACAGTCCGAGCTCGGCGGCGGCGGGCGCTCCGACGAGTGGCGCGCTTTCCTGTCCATGGCGAACGCCCGGGGCCGGGTAGAGTGGGCGGTGTGGGTGTACGAAGTGGGCTACTGTGCGCGGGGCATGTCCCGTCCTGACTCCTGGGCGTGAGTTGGCTCCGTTCCGCTGTGAGTAGATCCCGGGTGGATTGGTCGGGAGAGGGGCGGCGGGCTAAGTATATCGCCTTGGGCGCCGACAAGTTCAAATCGTTACCCGTCCATCCTGGGAGTATCCGCGACATGCATCATCGATTAACGTCTGGGCGCACATACAATACCGTCACTATACACACTTGCCGCACCATAAACCGGACTGGTCTCTATGAAATGCTCGTATATAACACCTCTACGCGGCCACCCATCGAGACGTCTAAACGATGGTTTCTATTCGCACCTCGGTCCCACACTCCTTCCCCCTACGCGCGAGCTCCGTCGCCGGCGTGGTGCGGTGCGCCCTCCTCCTCCCCGCGCCGCTTTTCCCGCGCCGATCCCGGGTCGAATCCGTGCGCGCCCCTCCTGTCCGCGCGGTAGTCCAGCGCCAGGTTGAGCAGGGCGACGCCGATCCCGAGCGACGAGAACCCGATCCCGAGGTAGAACGCGGACCGATATCCGCGCAGCACGTCCGCCTTCGTCCGCCCGCCCCGGTTCAGCTGCGTCTCCACCGTGCCCGCGAAGCCCAGCCCGAGCGAGACCGAGTAGTTCACGAAGGTGTTGACGAGGCTGGCGGCGCTGCACAACATACCGGTCAACGGGCCAGTTTACGGGGGGACGCCGAGGAGTAGTAGTAAGACCGCGACACGTACATTCCCTCTGTTCTCGGGGGTCGGATCAAGGTATATATCGTGAACAACGCGCCTTCGTGATCATAAGAAGCTGAGATGAGCTCACGTTGATGTCGATGAACGGAATTGCTCGCGACGAGTGAAGCCGCCGGAAAACTGCCATACGATCCTCGTCAACATATATGCCAGACTCGGAGACGATTGAAGCAGGCGATCCTTGCCTCATATCCTGGCCGAATCTGGCCCAAAAAACAAGTGAGCGGGTGGGCGACACGGCCTCGCGTGGTGAACGGATCGCTTACGGCGCGATGATGGTGCTCACGAACGTCAGAGCCCAGTACGTCTGATGCACCGGGGCGATCGCGAACAGAACGGTAGCGACGCAGAACGCGGTAAGGGCGACCACCATGAGCAGCGACGGACCGATACTGTAACAGGAAAAACGCGACAAGAGTGAGTGTGTGCGTGCGTGCGACAAAGGCATATACGCACATTGGTAGAAGGAAGCCGGTCAAGGCCGTCGCTATCGCCCCCGCGACGGCGACCGGCGTGAAGGACGCGACGGCTCCGAGCGGCGTGTACCCTCGCATCTGTATGTAGAACCGGGTGCCGTAGAAGTTCCAGATTCCCTACGCGACAAAGAAGATACGGCATGAAGAACGAAGATAACGCGGTGACATTGCCGCGGCTAAAACGACCGCTCACGAATGTAGCCCAGCCTAACACACTGATGAACCGAAACGAGACGGAAAAAAAACCACGGTGAGTCCCCCTTCCAGTCTCTCGGGAAGCCGGTGCCAAAAAAATTCGTGGAAAAAAAAACTCACATGCACGCCAGCATCATGCTGATATGGCGATTCCATATCGTCGTCGGTACGAGCGCGCCGTGCACGCGCCCTTCGACGACCAGGAACGCGCACACGAGCGCGACGCCGACGACGAGAAGCGCGTACGCGTACGGCGTTCGCCAGCCCACGATCGGCGCCTGGTTCCACGCAAAGTTGACGAGCACGAGGCCGCCGATGCCGAGGACCGCGCCCAGCCAGTCGAACCGAGGACCCGCCGTACTTTCGTCGGAGGGCGCCGATGACGCACCGGACGAGGTCGACGCGCCGCCGTCCGTTTCGGGGTCGGGGGCGTCCAGGATATCGTCCGCGGGGATGACGAAGTAGCAGGGCATCGCGCCCGCGGCCATCTTGGTCAACAGCGTCGCCATCCTCGGGCGGACGTACGTACCCGGACCGCGCAAGAACTACGCGTTCGCCGTCTTCGCCGCCGCCGCGCCCAACGGATTTCTGGTCGGAGGTGAGCGCTTGTGCGCCGGGTCCCTTTTTTTTCCTGTTGCGTGTTGACCATCAACCCCCCCCCCCCCGTGGCCCAGCGGTATTCGCTAGCCTGTTCGCGCAGTTCGCGTGGTGGCCGTGGTCGTTCTGGACCGAGGCCATCGCGTGCCTCGCCATGGTGCCCGCCGTCATGGCCCGACAGACGTCGAACATGATCACCGACCGCGCGTACACGGAGAACCCGGCGACGAGGGACCACAGCGCGAACCAGACGTAGGCGACGAGCAGGACCCTCTTGTGCCCGTACATGTCGCCCAGCCTGCCGGCTGGCAGGACGAACGTGCCGACGGTGAGCGAGTACGCGGCGATCGTCCATGACTCTTGAGCGGGGTCGGTCGTGCCCAAAGACTTGGCGATGATCTCCAGCGGTACGACGACCTGACCGAGGCTGGCCTGAGTGAACTTGTCGCGTGCGTCAAATCGGGCGGTTTCTATTGCGCAGCTGCTCGGTTCCGTCTTACCAGTTGTGCACCTATTCAAAAAAAATCGGAATTCAGATCAAGTTCTCGTGTTCGCAAAACGGCTTTTCTCGCAAGTTTACTCACAGCTTATGACGATGATGAACAGGAGTTCATGGACCTTCCCAAAGTGGACGCCTTCGTGGAAAGGCGAATGCGGACCCTTCTCGACGCTGACGCTGGCGCTGCGCGACGACATATCGTGTCGCCAGATTCAGTTTCGTGAAATGGACGTCCCTCCGAGCCGTCGCGAACTGGAAACTCCGTCGAAGACTACGAGCGAGACGAGGGGGGGGTCCAGCGCTCACATTGGCATTATACATATACCAAGGAGCTAATAGCCAGGTGCGGCCGGCTGATCTTTATAAGGCGTGCGCGATGGTCGCAAATACGTCCAACTCGGTCCATTTCCGATCACGGTGGTTTACCTGCTCCGTCAGTCTATCGAAAAATCCATCCGCTCGGAGGACCCGTCACAGCCTCGGGACCCCTGGACAACCGTCATATCACTATGGCATATAGGAGCAAGCTTCGGAAAGAATCGACCTACAGGTGTATGTCACAGACCTGGACCCAAGTCGCCTTTGAGACAGTAAATGTGCAGGAGACTATCCTCTCTACCTGCATCTTCGTTATCCAGAATGTCAGTCACAGGTGCCTCTGGTTATGAGTCTATTAGGGTGCAGTGGCCAAGCGCGAACGACATGCTGGAGTTACCTGTTTTCCGAAAGCGGAACAACCCGATGGCGTGGTTGCCGCGCTCCGTCGATACCAAATACGTGCAGTTTGGCGCACCGATAAGGTACGGAAGTTGGGGAGCCTGCTGATACGCCGATGCAGGCGCAGAGAACCTTCGGCACGAGCGCGCTGGCGGCGATTATTTGTGAGCGGTGCGGTAAAGCCATATGGGCCAAAAGGGTTGCGAAGCCTCCGTAGCGGCCAGATTATTTGCCTGTTGCTGCACTTCAAGTGCTCAGGTAGATCATGGCGCCATTGCCCGAGCTCTCGCGCACTTTGCAATGCATAGCTGGCTGTGATGCGGTGAAGTCACCACCGGTCGCATTGGTGCTTGCGACAGTCGAGTTCAAACCACGAACGCGGGAGCCCGGGACGGGCGGAGCTTTCATACAACATAATTTAACTTTTTGAGAAATTTCACTTGAGTAAGTATGCAAATGCCTAAATTGCCCGGAGCACGTCCCGCACTCCCCGTCGTCCGAACGCACGCACGCATCCCCAGCATGTCACAAATCCAGCCAGAACGCACGCCTGTGGAGCACGATAACCACGTTCCTCCTCCTCCTCCCCCTGCTCTCCCACTGGGTGACTTCCCGTAAGGATCTGTAAGGCCGAATAGAATAGATTTCGCTTACAAATCCACTAAGCGAGCGATGCCGAAAAATCGGCATCAACGAGCCAAGTTATCGGTTTACAAGTCGCTCGTACAGACCTTTTATCTGGAAGGGGGGGTCGACCCCCCCTTCCAGACCAAAATGACCGTTTACAGACAGGAATTTGTCATACACGTGACCTTCTCTCTTCCTCATTCGCTGCTCAGCCCTTCTCAACGGACCTCCGCGTTTATGATGTCTATTTCGGCCCCACACCGTACGGGGGCATAAACGTACAGCATAACCCACAGATCGGGGTTTGAACTGTTTATTCTGTGTTTCTGTCGCTCCAGATCTTACGGGAAGTCATCCACTCTTTGCACGTTTGCCATTCGCCGCCAACCCAAACGCAACGGCGCCTGCCAAAAGCGGCTAGCGCGGGCTCACGTCATTGGCTGACCGCGGCGCTATCTCGCACACACCCCCCTTCTCGTCCCACCGACGCCCAAGTCCTCCTCCTCCTGCCTGCCGCCGGTCTGTGGCACTCCCGCATACATCCCGCAACCACCGCCCCTCCACCAGGAGCGACACACGACGATGAAGTTCATCGACATCCCCGCCCTCTCCGCCCTCGCCCGCGCTCTCACCCACGACGGGCCCGACTGCAGCGTCCACACCCGGCTCGAAGCCTACAGCTGCAAACCCACCAACCGCGATAAGAAGCTCTTCAAGTCGCTCGAACACGCCTACGCCGACGACCACGCCCACTCCTCCTCATCACCCCCCTCCGGGTTCTTCGACGTCTCTGAAGAAGAAGACACGCCCTTCGGGCCCCTCTCCCGCCAGTCCGCGCGCAAGACGCTCTACCTCCTCATCGCCACCCTCAACGCCGCCTTCCCCGACCACGAGTTCTCGGACGTCAAGCCCGCCCAGTTCTCGCGCGAGCAAGCCGGTGCCGCCGCCGTGTTGCACGCCCTCTCCGCCTCGCTCGCCGCGCCCCTCTCCGCCCCGTCGTCCTCCTACCCAGGCACCTCCGCCTCGCCCGACCTGCCCCCGCCGCCGTCGCTCCTCTCCTCTTACCCCTCGCCCTTGTCCTATTCCCTCCCCACGCGATCATCAGGAGCAGGAGCAGGCGCAGGCTCCCTCCTCTCTCCGCCGATCAGCAGCAGCACGCACCCGGCCCTCTTCCGCGCGCTCGACGACGCGATCGGCCTCGCCGACTGCGACGTGTACGCCTACGCGCCCGACCTGGACTCGGACCCGCTCGCGAACGACGACGAGGGGGAGAACGACGACTGGGACGCGGCGAGCGTCGGCGACGAGGACGGGACCGAGTCGGACGAGGAAGACGCGACGTTCGCGTTCGAGCTCGAGTTCGACCACGACGCGCCCCGGTCCGACGGCGAGGAGGACGGGGACCTGCCGGACGGCGCCCAGTTCAAGAGCCCGCGCCGCCGGCAGAAGAAGCGCTTCGTGGTGCCGCCCGTGCCGTCGTACGCGTCGGGTTACTCGTCTTCGCCTCCGTCGAGCGCGACGCCGACCAGCAAGGGACGCGCGATCCCCGCCGGACGTCGGGTGGGCATACGGATGAAGCGGCGCGGCGGCTTGCTATGGTCCTCGCACTGGTTCTTCGTCAACCGGAAGCTGAAGCGGATCTTGTTCGTGTCCGTCTGGGCGCGCAGCCGCGGGATGAGCCGGCGGTGGTCCGACTCGGACGAGAGCGAGCTCGGCGCGAGCTGGAGCGAGGATGTGGGGGAGAGGACTGGGAGGAGCGAGAGGTTTAGGGGATGGGAAGGCGCTGCGGGTGCGGGAGCGAGGGCGCTTGGGTTGCGCGCTTGGGCGTGAGCGCTATGTTAACCGCTTTTTACTCTGCGAAGGGTGAGTCATGAGAGTGTATGACTCGGTTGAAGGGTGGTACTGACCTTGTTTTATGACAGATGTGAATATGAACATCGCGAGCGCGTGGTTCGCGCGGGCATGAGTGTCGTCTCTTCGTCTTGTTAATGCTTGATACCTCTTCCTGTTACCGTTTGTGGACTATACTCAGGGTTTCGTCTTCCGTTTCTTCGTTCGCTTCTGTGTGTGTATGACTAGTCTTCGTATTGTATCAGCCACGCACGCGGGCTCCTGTGTTACTGTGTACTGTGTACCCACCCTATGTCGCACCCTCTCGTACTTTAGACTATGTCAGGACGGTGGATCTTCGTAGCCGCACGTCTTCGGCCGTATTTTGACATGCTTTTGATCGAAAAGTCGTGCTTTGCGTAGGGAAGGCGAGGTATGCGGTGGTGGTCGATGCCAGCGAAACAAGTAAAAGAAAATACATCGGTACGGGCCATCGATTTGATCGTGAAGTGTGAAAGGGTCCGGCGCATCCGCGCGGGTTGCGCGGGTGAACCACGGGCGAGATCGATGATCTCAAATTCAATGATAGCCACGTGGTGGCTGTGCTTGCGACTTTTCGTGAAGATCTGTCGTTATCGAGGGCGGAGTCCCGTCGATGCACGCGAGGGGAGGGGGCGGGCCGCGACCACATGCATATGACCCTTGATCGTATCGTATCGCGCTGCGGCGCGGGGGACAGAAAGTGGTATACATAACCGGTGGACTTTTGGAACTCTGACTACTACTACTACTACGAGACTCGGACGCACAAAAATGTCGACGCCGCCATTATCTGGGGTGTACGTCCCCGCCGTGCTGTTCATGAAGGAGAACGAAGATCTGGACGAGGAGGCGATCAAGGCGCACATACTCAGGCTCGCGCAGGTAAACGGGCCCTCGCATGTCATTTTGACTTTCATCATCGGGCTCTTATTCATCGCAATGGGGATCGGGATCTACACAGGCGGGCGTCACGGGCATCCTCGTCCAGGGCTCGAACGGCGAGGCGCAGCACCTCTCGCACGACGAGCGCAAGTACGCGATCCGGCTCACGCGCTCGACGCTCGACGCGAACGGGTTCGAGAAGACGCTCGTGATCGCGGGTACGGGGGCGCAGAGCACGCGCGAGACGATCAAGCTCTGCCAAGACGCGAAGGAGGCGGGCGCGACGCACGCGCTCGTGCTCACGCCGTCGACGTGGGTGCCCGCGATGACGCGCGAGAACGTGCTCCGGTTCCACCGCGAGGTGCGTGTTCTGTAGTTTTATGTTTTTTTTGGTAGTGCCTGTCTGACGGGGGGACATATCGATGATCGTGGGGGGCAGGTCGCGGACGCGTCGCCGATCCCGACGATGGTGTACAACTTCCCGGTCGTCACCGCCGGGCAGGACCTCGACTCGGATCTCATCGCCGCGCTCGGCGCGCATCCGAACATCGTCGGCACCAAGCTCTCATGCGGAAACGTCGGGAAGCTGCACCGGCTCACGGCCGCCCTCCCCGCGTCCTCGTTCGCCGTCTTTGCGGGCAAGTCGGACGTGTTCCTCCACGGCCTGTTGTCGGGCAGCGCGGGGGCGATCACGGCGCTCGTGAACGTGTGTCCGAAGGTGCACGTGAGGTTGTACGAGTTGTGGAAGGAGGGGAAGGTCGAGGAGGCGATGAGGCTGCAGGAGAGGTTGGGGAGGGCGGATTGGGCGGTCGCGAAGGTGGGCGGGGTGGGCGGGATCAAGGCGATCGTGAGCAAGGCGTTTGGGCATGGCGGGACGCAGGTGAGGGGGCCGTTGAAGAGCGCGGACGTAAACAAGTTTGGGCCCGAGGCGGGAGCGCTATGGGAGCTGATCGAGCTCGAAAAGTCGCTGTGAGCAGCGGAGAAGGGGCGGTAACCTCTCCGCCCCTGTGGTCTTGTACGCGTATGGACCGAATCTCTGTTCTGGTTTCACAAATGCCAATAGTGCAGTTGAACGGGGTACCCTTGACTATCGGTTCCTCAAAGCGTCGGACGATGCAAATGCGGGAGATGAAGGGTGTGCGGGCGTCCAGATGTTACATACTCCAGAGAGCACGTCCACATGCGTATGCAGAGTCGCGGGCCGACTAGATCTGTAGCCCTCGGCCGTCGCGTGCATCTTGGTGGATGAGAAGACGAGGATGGGGCTGCTAGAACGCCCGGAGAGATGGTATTGCACCCAGTGCGTGGATCACATGCGAGAATTCTGGGGAGGATGGGGATATCACATGCGAACGCGATATCCTATTTCACTGCGACGGTGTCATAGGCGCAGGGGACTCTGCTCGCGAGATTACCACCTATACCTATACGCCCTCTTCCTTCCTTTGACCACGTCGACCTTCTTCCTCTTCGCCCACCATGTCTGACATCAACATCCCGGGATTCAAGGCGCGTCCAACCGCCGTAGTTCGCGAGAATTCGAGTTGACGAATGAGCTGTACCACACAGGCTTCGGACATCATCTCCCAGCTGGCACAAGTCACCAGCACGTACAGCGAAGAGGAGAAGAAGAAGGAAATCAAGAAGGTGCGTCTGCCTTTTTATCTTACACGAAGGCCGGATGGACTGACGTGCCCGGTTTCTTCGTCTTTCAGACGAACGGCATCTTCGAGCTGCGCATAAAGAACGCGGAGGGCAAGGAGGGCGTGTGGACGATCGACATGAAGAAGACCGGGACGGTCTACAAGGGCGAGGCGAAGCCCAAGCCGGACGTCGCCATCATCTTGTCCGATGATACATTTGTGCAGCTCGCCGAGGGCAAGGTGCGCTGCCCCCATGTGGTGCTCACTCGAAACCAACGCTAATCCCTCATCGTACAGCTTGACGGACAGAAGGCGTTCATGACCGGCAAGCTGAAGACAAAGGGTAACATGATGCTCGCGACTAAGCTGGACGGCGTGTTGAAGGTGCGTTTATATGCCGCGAGCATTCTTGAGCATTTACTCATGCGGCTTTGAATACATCAGACTGCAAAGGGCAAAGCAAAGCTCTGAGTTACGTCGTATCGTTGTATATCATACCGATACCGTCAGCCTATCCCCTTCGTTTTCCTCTTGCACGCGATTCGCTTTGCGTCTGTATTTCGTCTGAATACTACCTGAATTAATCATGTGTTCTACGGACTTACATGCACGACGTGTCTCCCTATGCGAGCGCCTGGTATCACCTATCCATTTTGGACAAAGCCTACGGTGCAACTTACGAGAGTCACCGGCGGGCCCGACGTTCCCGGTGTCCGCGATCGAGACACGCACGTGATGGCGCGTTCCCTCGACAAATCACGACCGAGATTGGAGATGCTTTGCTTCTTCCTCGTCTTCGGTCTATCTGACAGTGTATATATATGCTGACATCTCCTTCCCGAATCAATGCTATCTGGAAGGGCAAGGCGAAAGCTACAGAGGCCGACTTTGATGACCTCAACCCGGTGATCACCTACCGCCACCTGCTCTCTCAAACGCCGGGCGTGTCGCATCCTTTGCGCGTCATCGGTAGGTGGTACAAGACGATTACACCTATCGAAAGCGCCTGACGATGCGTGCAGCGCTTTGTGATTGTAGGTGCTCGCAACAATACACGGGATGAGCGGGGAAACTGACTCGGCTTCTGCGTCCAGCGGACGCGTTCTATGCCGCATGCGAGCAAGTCCGCCTCGGGATCGATCCTGCAAAGCCTTTGGTTGTGCAGCAGTGGGATATGCTGATAGCGGTGAACTATGTGCGTTCAATTTGTGTCCACGATATCACTCCTATCTTGATACAATGCCCCCCCAGCCTGCTCGAAAGTATGGTATCAGCAGAATGGACAAGGTGGGGCTCTATCGCGCACCCTCAGCAGCATTTCGCTCGACTCACACCGGTCTCCCTCCAGGCACGCGACGCGAAGGAGAAGTGTCCTGACCTAATCTGCGTACACGTCGCGACGTACAAGGAAGGCGCGAAGGAGCCCGGATACTGGCCTAATCCCGATACGCGAACCCACAAGGTGCCATAGTACCTCGGTGGTACCACTATAAAGACGACGGATGTGCTGAACGCAACCCTTACAAGGTGTCTCTGGACCATTATCGTCGAGAAAGCATGAAGGTCGCGGCAATGTTCAAGGAGGGGGTGCCGGAGGGGGAAGTCGGTATGTGAGCTTGCTCATATATCCCTTCCACCCATGCTAATCGCGTTTCCTTACGGAAGAAAAGGCATCAATTGACGAGGCATTTATTGACTTCACCCTCCCCGTACGCAATATGATGTTGGATCGATACCCTTATCTTGCTCGTGTTCCGCCAGACGCACCGCATGGCCTCGACAGCCGACTACCACCGCCGCCGCCCATAGACTGGTCAGGAAAGGGAGTGGTAGTGCCCATCAAACCTGTCGACGATGAGAAGACCGACGACGATGACCAAAATAGCGACGAAGATTATGATGACTGCGACGCTGCGACGACATGGCACGACGTCGCCCTATCCCTCGCAGCGGAGCTGATGCAGAAAATCCGAGAGGACATACACACGAAACTGGGATATACAACGTCCGCAGTATGTCGTTCACCGAAATTCAATCGGTCGCCATGGGTTTGACGCGGTTTGACAGGGAATTGCTAGGAATAAGTTCCTGGCAAAGGTTCGTACCTTAATTCCTTCTTGCTGCTGCGAACCGAACGCTGACCCGCGAATATATTTGGCCGGCAACACAGCTCGCAGCGTCTTACCGGAAACCCATGAGTCAAGTAAGATTGCTCTTGGGAAGCGGCAAGGGGATCACCACTCATATGTTCAGACTATACTGCGCAATAGCGCCATTCCCAACTATCTGCGTCCGATGAAGTGAGCGCCAACTGATCATCCATGACATAGGTTTGATGTTTCTCACTGTGCGCGTATAGGTTCCAAAAGGTCTCTGTCGCAGCTGACAAGCTATACCCACCACTGACCATGGATATGGTAGATAAGGAATCTTGGTGGAAAGCTGGGTGAAGCGCTTGCTCAGGAGTTCGATGCGACGACGGTAGGGGACCTGCTCAATGTGTCGTTAGGTGACGACGATGCGACTTGTCTCACCAAGTCAGTGCTGACCTTTGAGCAGATGTCATGCAGCGGAAGTTCGGAGAGGAAAGTCTTTGGGTTTATGAGATTTTACGGTACAACACACGATTGTCCCTTCGGACTGACTGGTCCTGACACGTCCCTTCAGCGGCATCGATCGCTCCGAAGGTATGTCCGGCGATATGACTCGTGACCTTAAATCACCGCGTGCTGCGCAGTAAAGGAGAAGTCGATCGTGAACAAGAGCATGTTGGCGTCAAAGAACCTTGCGACGCCCGTGGCCAAGCCTTCAGAGGGGTGAGCGCGAACATACTCTCTCACACCCCGCCGCGACAACATGTTGATGTGTCTCCGCTAGTCATCACTGGATTCGGGTCCTCGCTGCGGAACTGGCTCTGCGGCTGAACGAGGCTAGAGAGTCGCGCCCGGGCTTGTGGCCCAAGACGCTGGTGCTCCACGTCAGGCAAGGTCAGGCATACTCAACAGGTGGTGCGGCGCCGTATATGGGCGCTCATCTTATGCCACTCCACAGGCTACGCCCAGAGTCGGTCGAAACAGGGGCCATTTCCGTTCACGCGTAATCTCACGATCGACGTGATCGCTGCTGCTGGGGATAAGCTGTGGAAGGAGCTAGTTGGCACCGGGGACTCTCCACGGGTGAAGATCACGGCCGTCCAGCTTGCTTTCACGGGCGTGGAGACGATGGAGGACGGTCAGCGGAATATCGAAGGCTTCTTCGGTGGAGCGTCGCATCAAATACAAGAGCCCAGCAACGTCCAGGCTGAGGATCATCGCAAACGTCGGGCTGATGGTGATCACTTCCCCCCGCCTCACGCGAAACGTCACAACAGCGACAACACAGCCCCGAGTGATCCCAACACTCAAGATACTCTTGATCCTTCCGACACTGGCGACAACTCATGTGCTTTGCAATCATCGTTCACATGCGAACGATGCGGTAAGCGGATCGCGTTGCCTGCAGATCTTTTAGGGCTGGAGGACGAGGATTTGCGAAGAGACGCGTTGGCGGCCTTGAGGATTGAGCACGATGATTTCCACTTTGCTGAGGAGCTTGCGAAACCCAAGATCAAACCCAATCGTGGTGTGGTACCTCCAACATCGAAAGCAAGAGGCAAAAACACTGCAAAGACCAAGTCAAAGATCGCTAAGGAGCAGGAGGGCATCGCGAAGTTCTTTACACGCCAATGACATAATGTATAGCATATTACCATATCAGTGAGCCGACGGTACAATGCGGCAGTGGGTGCAAATCATCAGATTCGCCGACGTTGTTCTTGGTTACCGGGTCAGCTCACTACTGTCTTGACCGCCCCCTTTCCGCCTCAATATCAAACATGATCGTGAAGTTCTCAGGCCAGGCTGGTCTCCTTCCTCTCCCCCGAGGCTGCTCCCGCTACGCTTACGCTCCCTCTAATCTTCGTTCGATTCTCCTCCTGGTTCCTAGACAGCTTTCCCTTCGTTCTTTTTTGGTCTGGGACTGCTCTTCACGACCCCTTTAGTTTCGACTGTCTTGGTGCCGGCTCGACGCTGCGAACTGCTGTTGAACAGTATCAAGACACCTTACTCGTAATTCAACGTGTTTTCCGCCCTTTGCGATGTCACAAGTAACTATGCATGCTTTCACCTCGGGAGAAGTGGCCGCGATCGTGGTGCGTGACAGTAAAACCACTTGCCGACAAAGCATGCGTCTCTAATCGCGAGCTCAACGTGTAGCCCATCTTCATATGCTCCTGCCTATCTATCCTGGCCATATTCTTCCTTGCGACCCGCGTTGCCTGGACTTTGATCACCCCGGAGTCAGATGTCAAGCCCGCCCGTGAACGCATCTTCTTCCGCACGCAGCTTGGGCTGTTCGCAGGCTGCTTGCTCTTGAGCAACCTTATCAGCTGCACCGCTGGGCTGATGGAAGGCGCTTGGGTGATGATGAAGGGAATTCAAGAAGGTGCGCCTATTTCCATCGGCGGGACTCTGTTGATGCCATGCCATTGTATTGAACATCGCCGTGTTTCACAGGCTCGATATGCACCACCCAGGGTAGGCAATCCATTATGCATCATTATGCGAGCGCCGGAACTGAAGAGCTCAACTTTACCCAGCTACCTTGATGGGCGTCGGCGATTTCGGGTCGGCGTACTTCACAGCGCTTGTTGCGGTGCACACCTTCAACTCGTTGGTGCTGCGGTACAAGCAACCAGTGTGGGTCAACATCGCCGCGGTTACTTTTGGTTGGGCTGGTGCCCTTGCCGTGGGTACGTGTATGCGTCGGGATTCTGTCTTCACATGATTGTTCACGATGTTCTCAAAGGCGTGGTCCCCGCTTTTGTCTCGCCTCCCCGGGGTCCTGTGTATGGTTCCATGTCGTATGCGTGCGGCACATCTGCTGCTTATCCCGCCTATCAGTTTTGTTTGCATTTGCTTCCGGTAGGTTATGCTCCTATGACGAAATTATATGTGCAAGGTTCTGAATCCATCACTCAGATTTTCGTCACTGCTCTGATTTCTGCGATTCTGTATTCTCTGATTTTCCTCGTCATTCGCGGAACGATGTCTATCCGCGGCGGTATCAGCTTCTCGTTGGACCCGCATCAGCGCTGGAGCGGTCAAGTACACGGCTTCGACGAGTACCACCGATTTATCAGAGCAATTGCTGCCTCGATGCTTTGGTACCCGCTGGGTGAGTTCTCGTGCATAAAATCTGCGAACGCTGAATCTAAAACTCGTGTCGTTTAAAGCATACCTCATTCTCCTGCTGCCGGTATCCTTTACGTTGCTGCTATTCATTCAAGGCTTCCGTGTATCGTGGGGTGTTATGGTGTTCAGCACTGCTTGCTCCCTCCTCCTTGGTCCGCTACTACTATCAGAAATGGTTGTTCTCGCGCTTATACCCTACTCAGGTCTCGCAAACGTTACCCTCATCTACAACACGCTGCGTGTGCTGAGCCCCGCGTTTACCGGCACCACCCGGGGCTCCTCCGGCCCTCAGACGGATGCCGAGCGCACCTGGGGACCTTCGGAGAAGCAGGAAGACTATCAGCCTCACTTTGCTGCCCCGCCCATGAGTGCGAAAGCGTTCGAGTTCCCGGCCAGCCCGCGATCACCGGCCTCAACCGTCCGTGCGCCCACCGTTCGCAAGCACAGCGGGGGGATTGTGCCCTACGTCTCGCACTCGGCCTCCTCGAGTGACGTGTCCTCGACCCGGAGCCTCTTGCGGCCTACTGGGCACCGCCAGGGCCTTAGCTCGGATAGCGCGAGCATGATCTCGGCCATCTCCCGGCCTATCACCCCGGCCTCTCAACTCAGCATGGAGATCAGCATCCCGGAACCGGCACACCAGTCCTCCCTTTACCCGCACCAGCGCCAACAGTCTGCGGACTCCTTGGGCTCGCTGCCGCCTCCTCCCCGCGCAGGACGTTCGCCCCTGCGCAGGGAACCTTCCGCCTCGCAACTCCCACCCACCAGGATGGTGCTCGGCCCTTCAGGCCAACTTGCCCTCCCCTCAGACGTGTCGTCCGACAACAAGCAAGTCTCGCGCAAGGAATCCCTCGCGTCGATGTTCCTGTCACGATCTTCCGTCCAGGAGCGGTCGAAAGGTTTGGCACGCAACGTTTCCGTGGGCGGGCTAAGCTACGCGTCCGCGGACTCGCCCACGAGCGAGTACGGCTCTTACGGCTCGCCGATACTCGGGAACCTCATGCGCCAGCAGAGCAACGCGACGGCCTTCAACCAACCCCGCGCAGAGCGTGACGGCCCGCAGGCCCTGGGCGCGACGGCCTGGGCGAGCCTGGTCACCAACGCTGCCACGAGCGACGCGCGGGGTATGGGCTCGCCGTACACGCCGACCCGGCTCCGCGGGGACTCGGAGTCGAGGGACGTCCCGGCGTCGCTACGCCCCCGCGCGGCGTCCGCTCGCCCCGTCGTCGACATGAACCGCGTCAACCGCGGCAGCGGCGCCTCCTTCTCGCGCGCGGCGTCCGTGTCGAGCACGCACACGCGCACGTTGTCGGGCCCGCGCGGCTTGCCTGCGGTGCCCGTTCGCGCCACGCATCGGCCGTCCGTGTCCGGAGAATACATCTAAACATGCCAAGTCAGAGCAGTTCGTTTGTCATACATCTTCAAAACCGTCTTCGATAGAGCTATCGCACTTTCACTTCGACCACGACACGCAAATGGCCGTGCTGTATTATTAGTTGGTCGTAATACTTTATGTAGCATATCGGAGTAGCCTAGTCATGCGCAATGCTCACACGGGAGAACTAGTTGACTGGCTGGGCTGGGGATATCAATGTCTCCCATAGGCATTTCTGGCACCTGGGATATCACAACAGTGCATGGCATCGAACCTGTTGTTTTGATTGTCATCACCTCCAAGGTATAAGCCAGAGGGCATCCCCCTTTTGTCGAATCCTGTCTTGTCACCACCCTGATTCCGGAGTATATGATGAAATCGACGAATGCTCGGGAAGCTAATCCTGGACATAAACCGCATTCTTCTGTTAATTGAGTCGAATTTATACCAGTCCGTATTCGTCTGGATAAGTACCCAATATGTGCGGATGAGAATACCACCTGAATCATGATTTTTATGTGCGTCATCAGCTTAAGACCGAGCGATCACCCAAACATCACTGAAGCAAAGTCCTGAGAATCATGTAACGCAGATGAGATGTTTGTGGAGTTGTTAAATCACGGCCGAATCGTCGAATCACTGCGCCGAGTCCAATTGATGTGAGCGCTCCCATGTACGAAGCAACTCAGCATTTCTCACAGCGATTCCGAGTGGCCTGCTCGAATGTGGCAACACGACAGATACAGCGTAGTAGCCTAGGTCGCAGCTGTGCAGGCGTAGGCGAGAATGATAGTAGTGATTGACTGAGACGTCCGACAAGTGAAGACGGGCAGGTGATGTTCTCAAAACCCTCGAAGAGCACGGAAGTTCGAGCGTGATCTAGTATGATGGACACATCGAGGCTGTGGCCAGCCAGAAGTAAACCTCGGTGGGATCGCAGTACCATTCTCGGCATGGTCAGAAATGCCCCATTGGTCGAGGCTGGTGTGTATTCGACGTCCGAAGGCGCTGTGTTGCTATCATGGCGGGCGGTAGCTTTGGTAGACCGTAGCTCTTTGGAGTCAATTGCTACACGACCAAGGGAAAGCGGGTGGAATTAGCACTGACCGAATTCGCCGTTATGTATCCCTCGGGAAAGATGGGGGGAGATGGAGGGAGATAAGGTATAGGATGGGGTATAAGCTATCGAGGGGATCGAAGTAAGCTGTGGCCGAATAAAAGGGTGGGAGACACGTGGGGACCGCCAAGGGTCGATCAATCCGTTCCGAGCTGGGTCTTGCGCTGCCCTCCCGTTCTCCTTTTCTTTCCACCCCGAACCTCCTTTCTACTCTCCCTGTTACCTCTTCTACTCCAAGCACAACATGTCCAGGGTGAGCTCGGATGCCGTTGAGGCTAGGGTGTGCGACTGACGCGCTGCACAGGCTCAGTTCTTGAGGGAGTACAAGCTCGTCGTTGTTGGCGGTGGTGGTCAGTGCCTTGGGTTGCATTTAGGCGTGTAACGCGTCTCTGACATTCTCATGCGCGTAGGCGTCGGCAAGTCCGCGCTCACCATCCAGTTCATCCAGAGCCATTTCGTGGACGAGTACGACCCCACAATTGAAGGTGGCGCAGCTCTCGTACAAGCTTACTATTGAGCCGCTGCTCACGGTTCGACTTTCCGTAGATTCGTATCGCAAGCAGTGCGTTATCGATGACGAGGTTGCGCTCCTCGACGTCCTGGACACGGCTGGCCAGGAGGAGTACGGGTGAGTCGCCCGCGCGCCCTTCATTTCCCATTCCTATTGCACGAAGCCCCAGGATGTCACTCCCCTATGTCCGACCATTGTTTTGTACGTGATGGCTGATGCCAGATGCCAGAGCCATGCGGGAGCAGTACATGAGGACGGGCGAAGGTTTCCTCCTCGTTTACTCGATCACGTCGCGGAACTCGTTCGAGGAAATCAGCACCTTCCACCAACAGATCCTTCGGGTGAAGGACAAGGACTACTTCCCGGTCATCGTCGTCGCGAACAAGTGCGATCTCGAGTACGAGCGCCAGGTCGGCATGAACGGTACGTGTTTCCGTGAAAATTGGCATCCCTGGTTATCCTGCTTTGGCCACATTGTCGTTAACGTTGCGTCATTCCGCGCACTTCTATGCCGATATACGTCCTATCTCCTTGATGAATCCTTACGCGCTTTGGACACGAGGCTGACGTGCTGCACTCCTTTTTACGTTACGTAGAGGGCCGTGACCTCGCGAAGCACTTCGGCTGCAAGTTCATCGAAACCTCTGCCAAGCAGAGGATCAACGTGGATGAGGCATTCTCTAACCTCGTTCGGGAGATCCGGAAATACAACAAGGTTCGTCTACCGCACTTCCAGCTGCAAAGCGGTTCAGCCCCTACGGATCACTCATGTGTATGTGTTTACAGGAAATGCAGCAAACGGGCCGCCCGCCGGCGAACACTGGCAATGCGCCTGGCGGCATGTTCAACCCCGGCGACAAGAACGACGATGCAGGAGCTGGATGCTGCGGTGGATGCGTTGTCGTCTGAACCTTGCCGTTATTCCCCTTCCGCCTTCTTTCACCTATCGTTTTCGCGTTTCCCTCCCACTCCCAGCCCCTAACCCCTTTACGTTCTGACATTCGCTATCGTTCACCCCATGTACATTGTATGTTTCGGATTCTCGTCCCTCTTGTTTACTGCTATATGGGTTCATGGTGCGGAGTTCGACCCTCGGGCGCAGGTCCCAGGGTCCTTAACGGAGTCGGTGGAGGTTGTCACCATAGGATTTATACTAGACAAAGCACAACATGCAACACAGTCATGACCGGAGCCCGTAATCTCACAATGGTCACATAAGACTGGTTGATGGCAATCCAGAGAAGAATGTCAGGCTCGGGGTTGCACAATGCTCGATACGTAGGGCACCATCTACATAAAGATGAGAATGCCCAGGGCCTCCTGACATTCGGACGTCTTATGCTCGCAAGGTTGAGATGGATGAGGAGAGATCGATGCGATTAGCGTCCAGTATCCTATACAAGCAAATGATAACATAGAGAGGTGGTAGGAAGCTTGCCGGCTCTAGTGTCCTGGCATCAAAACATAATTCAGAATTAGAACATCCTCCCGAAGAGCCCTCGCTGCCGCCGTGCCTGCGGTTGAACGTCCGTTCGCAACGTCGACAGGCTGTTCAACTGCTTCATAACCTACACCAAAGGCAAAGCAAATGAGTTACAGTGGGTCAGGGTGTCGCAACGAGTGCACGCACTTCTTCGAGTTTATCCTTACGCTCCTGAAGATCGAGATGTCGCCTAACCACGGGATTCTCCCGTGCAAATTCATCGATCTCTCGTCGATCGAGGTCATAGAGTAACCGCGAGTCGATTTCTCGAGGGAACTGGGCAAGCATTGGTTAGCATGTGCCAGGTCGATCTCTCTAGTATACTCACCTGGTAGAAGAAGTGGTCAAGCAGCTCAACAGTGATGAACATCGCACTCGTGTAAGCGAGCTTGTCAGCGACAACATTAAGGAACGCCTCCGGGCAAAGGACGTCATTCTCAGGGCCGCCTTTGCAGCGCTTCGACTTCAACGCAGCCAGCCGCAACTTCAAGATGTTCAGCCTATCCGTGTAGAGCAACGCATGCCGTCCTAAGGCTTGTTAGGATCGATCAACCCCACACACAGCACCAACAACGCACCATCCAGAATCTGGGCGGGGGGATACCGATACGACTCTTCCGAGATTTGCTCGGGCTCTTGAGCGTCGCTGTCATCCGCACCGGTCAGCCTCTTCAGCTTCCTCTCCCTCTCCCGCTCCTCCAACGTCTTCGCATAGTTCATGACGCCGTTCAGCCGCCTGCTGCCGCCTATCCGCTTGCGGATCTCCTTCAGCTTCTCTTCACAGAGGCTCATCTCCTTCTCGAACAGCTGCGCCGCCTCCTCCCGTCCCAGCTCCCATTCCCTCTCATCAACTTCCACCTCGTACTTGTACGGCTTGATGCAGTTCTCGACCTGATCGGATGTGACCCCTATCCGATCGCGAAGGATGGTGTGCGAAAGCTGGATGAGGCGCTCCGCCGTTCGTGGGTGGTGCGTGAACGGCTCGCCTGTCGCGATCGAGTCGATCAAAGCGCGCAAGCCGTCGGCGACGAGCAGAGTCGAGTCACGCCCGACGCCCGACTTGGTGAGCAACGAGCTTGCCGCCTCGAGCTTGTGTCGCCAGTACGGCTCGACGTCCTCCGGCTGGACCTTCCAGTTCGCACCGATTTCGTTCAGCTCGGGCGTGCGCTTGTCGAGCCAGTACAGCTGCTCGAGCACGTCCATCACCTTGTCCTCCAGCATCGCCTTCAGCTTCGCACGCACGGCCGGGCGTCGGAACTGCTGCGTGTACTCCTTGAAGCGCGCCTTGAGCGCGTCGATCGTCTCCGCCATGTACGACTCGGCGGTGATCCGTCGGTCGTTGTACTGCACTTTGAACTGGTATGTCGCCTCCTCGAGCTCGAGCTGCACCGCGTTGGTGATACTGTGCAGGGAAGACGCCATCGAGGACTCGAGCACCTCCATCAAGCGCCTGCGGAGGGTGTCCGTACCGACCATCGTCGAGGTGGAGCTGCCGAAATAGGCGCGGTTCGAGCCGAAGTAGTCGTCTTCGCCGCGTTGGGCAGCATCGGCCGTGGATTCGCGCTTCCCTTTCTTGCCCGAGGGCTTGCAGACTACGCCAACGTATCCAAGGTGCAGAGGGTAGCGGTTGCCAGCAAGGATCATCGCGCCTTGCTCAGCAGGGACGAGGTCCATTTTCGTCACCACACCGATTGTACGGAGGCCCAATGGGTCGACCTTTCTACTCGCCCGCAACGCCGGAGAGTTGGCGAGGTCGACGTCTGCGGCGCAGACGGCCAGGATGATGTTAGGCTCGCGAATGTACTTCTCGCACAACGACGATATCTTCTCCTTCAGCGTTTCAGGCTGATCCAATGATGCTATCTGTACATAGCCCGGGAGATCAATCAGGGTGAGGTCGGGGACGTAGGGGCTGTATATGCGCAGGTCGATAGGGTCGTCGGAAACAGCTTCAGACGAGGGAACGGCAAGGTTGAGATCCGTTAGAGTTTTCTGAATGTTGTTGAAGTCGGTCATCTTCCGAATTCCAAGGCTGGGGAATTCCCCGTATTCTTCGGGCACCTTGCCGTCTTTGGCAGGGGTATGGACGAGGGTGAGTTCAATGGGACGCCGGGTGACCATATTGTTTCCCCTGTGGATTGTGTGAGTTAATCCGGTACGAACGCAGCGGTCGTGACATTACTTGGGCAGGAATTCATGGCCAACAATTGCCTCCAACACGGAACTCTTCCCCGAGCTCTGACTACCAATAACGACAATACTCGGAAGCTTGAGCGAGTCACTCTGGTCGATGCTCATGAGCATACTGCGAATCTCTATGAGCTTTCGCGTGAGATGCATGAGTTCGTTCTGCTGAGAATTGAGGCCATTCTCCGAAGATTCTGCCTTTGGATCGGAAGGTGAAGACATGGTCGCAGCCACGAGTGCGGCGATGGCAGCAGCATCCTCCGGAGGAGGCTTTGACCCATTTGATCCTCCTCCCCCATTGCCACCTTCCCCTGACTCCCCGTTGCCGGACCCAGACGAGAAGAGGTCCTTCAAGAACTGCGGCGTCTCGAGATGGGGAAGTTCAGGGAGCTTGACGTTTGAAAGACTAGATTTGACGGCATTCAGGCCGTCCGAGGCCGTATCCAGAAGATCGGTAGCGGTCTCTTGCGCCGTCGTCAACCACTCGTCCGTCTTCTTGCGAACCTCTGCCTCTCAGTCAACGACAGTACAGCATACGGTAGCTAGTCACTCACGTTCAAACTTGTAGTTGGCATAGGTTAACCCTCCAGCTCCGACCGTAGCACCAGCTATAGGTACGCGAAACGCGCGCGCGACGAACCGCGGTATTGAGGAATACGAGAGAGCCCGTACGTGAACCTGCCGGAGAGACTGGGCGGCCGGCGATGCATACTGGCTGCGTAGTCGAAGGCCGCCTTGCTGGAGGAAAGGAGAGCGAAACTGTCGATGCATGGATCGCGAAGTCTGTCGCCCTGGTGACTTCAGGCCATAGGTAACCGTCTTGCGCACCGGGTTGAACGCGGACGACATGCGCTTGATCGTTGATGAATACATGGCGACAGCAAATTATCCGACGAGCAGCAGCTTTAGCCAGATGAATTGCTTGCACACCACAGCCGGGTCATGGAGAAATCCAGGGGAGAAAGCAGAACGTGCACGCGTCTCTCCGGCTTGCCGTTTACCCTCACGTCATGACCTCTACGTCGTCCATTCTGGAACCGCCACTCTTGCTATGAATGATAGACCCTCAAAACTCGAAGTCATGAAAGAGTATCGCGTGAACGCCTCGCATCTACATAGTCATAGCGAATGAGCTGAGCCCCAGCCAACCACTAGAAATAACCATCTTTCTTTTCGCATTCATCGCGAGACGAGGCTATCACAACGTCTTTCTCTCTCCCAAGAAAGCGATGAATAAGTATGTAACACAGGCTGTGGTGGGCAGATGAGGAAGTTGCCATCTTGCACGGTGCTCAACACACCCTAACAATTGCTGTCCCATGCTGTCCTGAATCTGGCAAGGGCTATCATGCCTGCTCCAGCTGGCTATCCCAGCTAATATCATGTGGCCATTTGTCTCGAAGTACCCATCCAGGAGCTTGGAGGAGATTGCAAACCAAGATTTCGATTACATCGTGGTGCGTGCTTGAGCTCAGACTAGAATGCAATCGCAGAGTTGACATTGATTACAGGTCGGAGGTTCGTCGTTGCTCCCACAACGGCCATACGCTGGCTAATGGCAAGCAGGTGGCACGGCGGGATGCGTCGTAGCTTCTCGACTGAGTGAAAATCCGGATACCCGAGTTCTGCTCCTGGAGCGCGGACCTGCTATAACCAGTTGGATATCCCGGGTCCCTCTGCTATCTCAAGACTTCCGACGGGCCACGTCTCCGGCATACAAATGGGCATCACAACCGTTGCAGGCTCTAAGCAGCTTGACAAACCGATTGGTCACGGGCAAGGCGCTTGGGGGCACATCGAAGATCAATGCGAACATTTATCATAGGTCAACGCCCGCTGATTATAACGCTTGGTCGACCTCAGGTGTAGAGGGATGGAGATGGTCTGACGTTGAGCCCTTCTTCAACAAGTCCGAGACAACTCTATCGCATACCGACTCCGCGCATCGTGGACATGATGGTCAGTCCCGAATCCCGATAGGTCCCTGCGGATATCCTTCACGAGAATCATATAGGACCGTGGAAGAATAGGGTTCCTGCCATATACTTCAAACATACGACTAAGTGAGCTTTCCTCGTATATTCCCTCTTCGGAGCCTCTTACAAGGGGGACGATAAGAGTCATTAGAGCATGCGCTTCTGTTGGAATTCCCTATTTGTCCGAAAGCAACGATCCGGATTCTCAATCGTTCGGATGTACACGCTTCGACGTCACTCTCGGGGAAGATGGACTCCGTCAGTCGTCGTTCGACGCGTTTCTTCCTGTTGAGGTGTTTCAGCGTCGAGTATCTTGCCGCTATCATCCTAACAACTTGTCCGCCAGGTTGCCGCAAGCCGAAAAGAGAACCTCTTCATATGTCCCGGGGTTGTCGCGACTTCCATCCATCTACGGGAGACGGCTGAAGGGCCTAGGGCCGTTGGCGTACAGATCGAGTACGAAGACGCGGACGCCGATATGGCACCCGTTTCGTTCATCGCGCGAGCGCGGCGCGAAATCGTCGTGACTTCGGGTGCTATTGGAAGCCCGCAATTGCTGATGCTCAGGTACGTGCTTCGACCTCACGCATTTTCCGGCTTATTCATCATACGCTCCGTTTAGCGGGATTGGTCCTGCTGACCACCTGACGAACCTTGGAATACAAGTCCACAAAGACCTTCCAGGGGTAGGAAGGGGGCCGGTGCGTTAGGTGTCTATCTACTGTGCCTTTTCGCTGAGTTACACCGTTCTCAGCAAGACCATTCCGCTGTCGCCGTCGAATACAAGGTACCAAAGTCTGATACCCTCCATGCAGCCGAGAGTTCGCCCATCCTGGTCCTTCGCGAGCTCGTCAAGTTCCTGTTGTTCGGGACTGGTCTCTTCCTCTCCCCAAATCCTCAAGTCTCGATCTTTGCAATGTCTAGGACCCTCGATTTTGATTCTGATCCCCCCGTTCGCGTCGAAGGGCGTGATCTCGACGCCCACAACCCGGAGAATATCTGCGACATCGAGATCATGCCGATTCCTGCCAACGCGCGTGACCCCTTGTTCAAGGATCAACTCGCACCGTCGGAAGCGGGTTTTACGTTCTTGTGCGCCGGCCTTCGCCCCAAATCCAATGGTACTGTGCGTTTGCGCTCCTTGGATCCTCGCACCCGGCCGGTTTGCGACCTGCGAACATTCGCTGAAGGGGAAGACCTTGTCGTCATGCGCAAGGCTGTCAGACTGGCGCTCTTGCTCAGCAGTAAGATGCGCGAACAAGGCTATCCCATGAACGATTTGCACGTTCCGAAGAGCGAGAGCGATGTGGACCTCAACGACTTCATCTTAAAGGACGCACATTCAACGTATCACTACTCCTCCACGTGCCGAATGGCCCCGGAAGACCAGCAAGGAGTGGTAGATGATCAGCTGCGGGTGCACGGCGTCCTCGGGTAAGCGAAAAGTTGCTTTGTTGCCCTTCGCTTCTCTGAACGAATCTCCAGACTTCGCATAGCTGACGCAAGCGTCTTTCCTACAATCCCGGCGACTCATGTGCGTACTGGGAAAGTTACAACGTTCCAACGTGCTGAAACCCTGCTGTCAGCTCCAGGCACCAGTTGTCATGGTCGGCGAGCGGTGCGCGGCGTTCATGGCCGACTAACACGGGGACTGAGTTCGCATTGGGCGCAACGAGTAATAAAACCAACATATATTGTCTACATAACCCACCGAACGCACTCTCAGTGCACTTCATTCGGATTATGCGTTTCCGCTGAGAGCAATGTTCACCTTCCTCTTGTGTGATGCCTCACGTACACTGGCGGCGTTTCAAGAACGAGTGAACAACATAAAACTTCAGGCTAGGCATAACTACTGCACCAGACTCATGAGAGATCGTCCATGGTGTATCGGCCAAGCCGTATGCCGCGCTGCTACACGTCTTGCAGGCCCAAGTTCCTTGCCCGAAATACCAACTGGGACAGTTCCGTATCCATAAGGCCCGCTGTACTTATCGTCGACCCCAGACTTCCGTGAAGGTCGTAAAACAAGCGCGATGTCTGTATGGGCATCCGTATCAATCTGCGCTCATGATCAATGCGTGCCGACGTACGGCAACTATATCGCCGTAACGAATGAGAGCCTCGAGTTCTATGTGGCAGTCGTTAAGCGCGCCCATACACCTATGATCTTCGCACCGCCAATGCCACGCGGAGGAGCTCCAGGGTGGAATCAGTGGGGAGGATACCCGTAGACAGAAGAGTATGCATGCGACAGGACTGTTAAAGATAGTGCTGCCGTCCTTTCAGCGTGACGATGCAGTATGTAAAAGAAGGACACAGGGATAGAGTTGTCGTCGGCAGTTGAAACCTGCTGTGCCAGAATATAGGTCTTGCGTCTTGATCTTATACTTGGACTGGTATAAAGCTGTCCTGAGCATTCAGTTACGACGAGCCTCGGGAACTTGCGAGTGAAACCGACTAACCCTCCGCGGAAAGGCGTTGTAATTTTGTACGTGTAGAGGTTGGTGCCAGTCGTCAGTCCGATTCCCCATCCGAAGTTGTTCTGGTCACTGTTGGCTAGGTATGACGTTGTCCAGAGCAATGCTCTGTTTCCGATTGCGTTGTCAAACTTCGTCAAATCACATTTTTAAATGCGTAGCGGTGCATAACAACAACTGAGATACCAAAAATGTTCTTCCAAGTCAAGCTCACTCCTGGTGTCGTCATCGCACACGGTAACGACTCCGAGTCCAAGGGCCGCCTACTATGCCATCAAGCCACTAAGCTATCTGCATTGACCGGATGAGGGATGCCCGTAAGCGCCTTCCGTTCCTCGGTGCGCGCCTCCTTCGACGCCTCCTGCGGGTTGTTGATCCGCCGGATGACCTCACTGATGACACCCTTACGTCTCTGCTGTCGATGTCGTAGGCGAACAGCAGACCATTGATACAGACACGAAAGTCGTAGACGGGGATCGAGGCCGGTTCCTGTCTAGATGCGCTCTGCGGCATGCGACAGCCTTGTCCTCTGCCTGGTGAGTCTTGATCCGGACGTAGGCAGGCCGCACAATGTCTACATCTCGGGCGTTTGCGAAGGACGGCATCAGTCAACGTTCAGAAGGCTAGGCGTTTGAGCAAACGTCGGCTTGCTTGAGCGGCAGTTCACGCGTGAAGTTGAAATGTCCACGAATAAGAATGCGAGGCTTGACATCCCGCTTACTCGGTTTTATACGGTAATGCAATGGACATGCTTTCTATTGCGCCGATTAGTCGGGAGTAACATAAAAGACGGTGAACGACCATACCACAGTCATCCCCTATGATGCAACAGCAGCAGCCCCACTCGAGGCTCCTTTTAGCCAGTGCCGAGAAGCGAATGGTGGGTCAAGACTGCCAGTGTATGTACTCCCTCGAGCGTACTCCATGAGCGGGCTTCCCAGACAGGATGGCGTGGTGCGGCATCAACGGCACTACGTAGCGCTACGTGGTACCTGTTCAGCGCCAGATCTAGTCAGCGATGACTATAAATGTGCAGTGAAGATGCTTCACCAAATCGCTCTGAGGCCCGTTTCGATTGAAGGGAGACAGTTATACGCGTGTTCGTCAGATCTAGACAATAGCACACGAGCTTGCAGCATCGAGCGAGCGAGACCTTTGTGTGACGGCGAGCCGAATCCAGAGTGAACTTTCTCACGAGCAATCGCTTAGGTTATGCAATGCCTCGCGCAAGTATGTCGTCGACTTCTGGACAGGCAACACAGCGAACTTGAAATCTCATGCGTGAAATATGACACATTAAACTCAAGACCATCGATATCCTTCTCCGATATTGTGCTAGTGTATCGGTTAAGCCACTTGGCGCAACGACATGCCACGCGTGTCCGGCTTGCTTCTCTGGAAAACCAGCTGGGATAGTTCCGTGTCGACACGGCTTGCTGTGTCAGTCGCCCCAAGATTGTTGCGAAGATCGTAGAACAACCGCGAGGTCTGTGCCGTCGAATATGTAGATCAGTTAGGCTCGCGATGGAAGTGCATGACGTACGGCAACTGGATACACACTCATCGCCACACTTTATCTGGGTTAGACAGAGCAGCAACTCGAGGGCCCGGTATAACGTACAAGAGCATACCAACTGGCAGCACCTGACTCGGAGGACTGCCTAGTAGCACAGTATCAGCTGCAATATCCAGATGCGTGTACGGACACTCACCACTCAGTGCCAAGTAGACTGCAAGATTCACGATTTGTCCAGCTAGCGGCCGTAAGTAAATTATGTTCCAGATTCACGCAAGCGACATACCCAATACAACAAAGTAGTACATGCACCCATCTCGGAATACTAGGAAGACGGTAGGCATGAACCGTCTCACGTTCCAAAGGTCGCCCAGTTGCAATGATCCTGCCTGGATGTTCCTATTCGTCTGGACGAACTTGCAGCATATAAGTAGGAAGTATATAGTGGATATGGCCGCATCCATAGTTCTGAGGTATGTTGGTTTATTTGGTTTGGATTGGATGATAAGCTTGTTATAACGTACGCTGCCGCAACTGACATTCTATTAAATGTCTTTGTCGGTGGCCTAGATCCAGCAAAACAGCCCACTAGCGGAAGTCTCATGCTTGATGGTTGTTCTGCCCCGACGATTTGAATGGTCAAAACAGACCATGCGATGTCCACCTATGATGTCACGGATCAGAATGAGAGTCGGCTAGTATCAGTGAGATATTGCAAACCAGTACAGAACCTAGTGGAACACCAATCCGTAAGTATCATTCATTTGTGCGAGAAGCGGGACACATGCATAGATAAATGCTCGTTGTTGGGATCGTTACTGCAAAGCGTATCAGCTGAGCACAATCGCGAAGACTATATTGCCCCATTGCCGTCAACCGCTTACCTTGCCATACCCCCTTGTATATAGCGTTAACGCGTATCAGGAGCAAGGCGGATCCGAGCAAACTGGATAATGCAAATCCACCACTACAATAGCCACTGAATCTCCTGCTGGAGAGTGAGAATATTTGCCTAACTCACACGTATACAAAACTCCGGAAATTGGCGCAGCTAGACAATGGTGCTGTCAGTCGCTTAGGAGTCAGGCATTATTATTTCTTTGTTTCATACAACTGTAACACAGCAGTGAGTACTCGACGATGCGCAGAGGGTAAACCATTCACATGCTGTGACAGATCGCTGCGCGTTCCATCTAGTGCCATGTACGTATCTGTTGTCTGCATTAACATAATTGGCATAAATACGCACATATCGCTATCAGACTACAGATATCGATGTAAGTCGGCCGCTCTCAAACGTTCAGGCACAAAAACCCACATTAGCACGAGAAGGACGTAGTACCGTAGGGTCAGGAAGAGCGCCTTCGTCAGGCTCCACTTTGATCTATGCTGGGCGTCAAGTTTCATTCCGTCTGCGAGGTGTAGACATACTCTCGGATTAGTATGACCTCCATTCGGATTTAAGCACAGAAACGATCACAACTAGAGTAGTTATATACCTCGGAGCTGACGGTGATGAGCATATCGTAAGCCAACCAAGCCAGGCATGCCGCTTGAATGTCTCAGTGACACTGCGGGGTAGCACTGAAGAGGCGCAGACGTGCTCACTAGTGATATAGTTGACTGTCTGCACATCATATGCGATAGCTATGATCAGGGCAGCTTGAGGACTATGGACTAAAGGGGAGGCCATGTACGCACATGGCAGGAAACAAACTCAATGCTTAAGTATGTGTTGAGCACCGCCTTTTCGTGCTGCGAAGTCTTTACATGTGTGTGCATCATCCTGTTACATTCAATTGAAAGGGAGGGGGTGCCAGGGTGGGATCACCGTGGAAACGAATTTTATGAATAGAAGCGTCTTGGTGAGACGGAACTACTCAAAGTGGGTTTATTCCATCTAGCGTGTCGAGGGTTCAGACGAAGAAGTCTGATAACTTATGGTCAGGTGCCACCATGCCGAACGCTGTGTAGGATGATAATCAGACTACCCCACAGGCAGAAGAGCCTACTGTGTGACGAACCTGCTAAAGATAATGTTACTCCTTTGGGCGCCTTGATGAAAGAAGATCGAAGGCAAAAGATTGCTATTGAGTCTTACCGGAACGCAGAGCTATAATTCATGTAAGGCTTCTCTATGCTTAGCAACGTACATAGGTAGGAATTGGGTTGCATCTGTGCGAATAGAAGAGAAAGTGCCCTATGATGGACCGGGACAACGCAATCCCCGGTCTAATATTGTCCTGTGATTCAATACTACATCGTTATTATGACGAGGCTTATTTCAAGAGAACCAACGGCAACGGCGCCGTAATGTTTCTTATGGGATCCAAGAGCTTCAGAGTGACGCGTAAGCGCTCTCCCCCGCCGGAGTTTTGAGGTCCATCCTAGCAGAACATCACGTATACCAGTTCGGTCTTTCGGGGTCGCCACCGCTCCGAGCTCTGGTTAGTATTCCGTTATTATGGTGAAGGGCTAAAGATCGAGAAGGCAGCACCGCCGCACACAGGTATAGTCAGCTGCGCCTAATACAGTTGAGAAGCCCTCGAGCCGAATACAGTGTCGCCCGTTCAACGATACGATATTACGATATGCGCGCCGGATTATTGCCTAGTACGTGGTTGCGCGGACGTGGATGAGGCTGGTATGCAGTCCATTGCGGTGATCGGGACGTGAAGGCGGCGAGGCAGAAATGTTATGGTGCACACTCAATCACGTGCAGCTCACAATTCTCCCGAGGTCGCAGTCACGGTGTCTCCATCTTGTCCCGTCGGTTCTGTGCACGGACAGTAACGCTGTTGAGAACAGAATCAGCCTCAGCAAAATGCGGTTGCAGGCCCTTCAACCCCCTATACCTTCAGAGCTTGTGGATGCGTTAGATGCATGCGAGATACGAACAGATCACGACTTGCTATTTGGTGCTTCAACAGCAGACATCATTCGACGTTCGCCCCCCGGCACGATCTCCTATCAAGCTCTTCAAGCCTTACGCGCGAGTATTCAGAAGTCCGCCAGCGCGGCAGGTGCTCGTGGCTCTGATCTCTTGATCGCCGATCAAGCACGCAGAGCGACTTGCACGTTTCCTTTCACCTTCGGAGTGGAGGTGCTCGATGAACTACTCCGGTCACTAGAGACCGCATGCGTGGTGGAGCTATCTGGAGACAAAGGGACAGGAAAATCTGTGAGAAGGAAACGAGGCTTGCACACCTTTCCATGCTTACCTCGCCACAGCTTGTAGCGTTGCACCTGATTTTACAACTTCTGTGCAGAAATCCCCAGGCGAGCGCATTATGGGTGGACACTACGGGAGATTTCGCAGCTGAGGAAGTTTCGGATATCATAGCCGGATTTGATAGTGAGGTGCGTAGGACCTTATGATCATCCGAGCCAAACTCGAATTGCGGATCGAAGGCGAAAGCGACTGCAGCGCAGCGGCTCCAAGTAACACTGGCATTTGACGTCGAAGCAGCACATGATGTGCTGGATACTCTGCAGCAGTTAATCTCCGTACGTCTCTTCTCCCGGCTTATCGAGTTCAGGCTCGTACCTTCCGGCTTCAGTCGGAGAGAATGCCCGGTGAACACATACGGATTGTCGTCATCGATTCCATCACGCCGCTGCTCGGTCCTGGGCTGAGTGCCGTGTCATCCCAAGGTCAATAAACTCTTACCGGTCTTTGACAAGTAGTGAACCAAGATGACTGCAGGTCACGCGGTGATGATAACGTTCATGCGTCAGCTGCGTTCCTTAGCACGCTCTCTCTCGGCATCTATTCTGGTGAATGCGGTATCTCCAAGCTGCATATTCTGTAGTTCTCTAAACCCGTCTTTGTTGAAGATCGTCAACTCTGCAAGCTCCGCGAGGGCAAACTACGTCATTCCTGCATCTATTCCAAATAATAAGAAGCCGGCTTTGGGTCCATCATTCACGTTTACAACAGATACTTCGGTTTGGCTGACGAAACGGGACGGAGCCGACGGGCAAGACGCCGGTTTGTTCACCATAGAGATACTGCGATCAAGAACCTCAGTCAGTTTCTTGCTCTCCAATACTCGGCTGGGAGGCTCATCAGACTAGCGTTCGAGGATTTGGAGCGCCTTTCGGGTGGTGCAAGGCAGGGTAGTGCCGTCAGAATCCGCATGATCGGTGAGAGGGAACAGGAGGGGAACGGGAAGGAAACTGAGGGAACGTGGAGGGACAATGCCAGCCCAGCGGCCCGTTCCAAAGAACGCGCATCGCCTCATTACGGGATCCCGCATTGACAGCTACATTGGGCTTTGCATGGCTTTGCGTATGACGGCAACTACACATGTGCCGCCGCCGTGGTCGACCGGCTCCGTTGTCCGGTCGTACCTTGCATTCATGACGCGGCAAGTTGAGACGATCTTGGTGCGATATCATCATGGTAGTCACAAGCAATGTGGAGGAAAGCGTCGCGAGGCACTCTGAGGCGCGCGTCGTTATCCAGCGTTTACACCTTCAAGGCGTCAAGGCAGCGGGGGGCGGCGGAAGCAGAACAAGCAAGACCCGACACGGTTTCGATCCGGATATCCGAGCGATGGCTCCACAAAGACTCGGGAGTACAATGCGCGCACAGCGCTGGTGATGAGGCCCAATTAGTACTCGGCGCATTGTTTGTAGGGACTGCCTGCCTAATAGGGCGATGAACGAGCGTTTGTGCCGTTGCCGACTACTGGCGGAGAGCTTTCTGACTCCGCGACGCGGATCGAAGTTCAAGACATGAAGCTTGTCAAAGGACGACGCCTCGTTGTGGCCTGATGGTTAACATGGCCAAAGGCACCAATCCCACCCTCAATAAGTGATTTTCGCTCAACATACACCTTCACTGAGAGAGAGGTACTTAAGGACAATGGGATCGTCGTCTTGCTACTCCAAGCTCTTTCGGAAGCCCTTCCCATCCGCCTCAGCACTTGTTCAATGCCCTCTTTCAGAAACGTCTCCGGGCGCGCTAGCCGCGACCGCGCTCCTTCTGGCTCTGGTAGGAATCAACTCGGTGGGTGCAACTTTCTTTCGCCAAACACATTTGTTTGTATATGGACCCACAACGCTCAGTCTATCGGGGCTTCTGCTCGGTCGACATTGTGGCAATTTCCGTTGCACGATAACTTAACATCGCAAGTACACGACGCTGATACACTGGATAATATAGGTGGCACCTCTCACTTGGGCAGTGCTCTGCATCATAACCCACCGGAGACGCTCTCGTCTCCCGCGTCGTCGTCCTATTCGCTATCCAATGATGCTGCCGGGTCCGTAGCCCGGTTCGTACCTAGCGAGGCCCACGCGGCAAAGCGCGAGCCCGGTCACATTCCCCGTCCCGTTAACGCCTTCATACTCTTCCGCTCCCATCTGAATGCCACCGAGTTCGCCGGTAGCAACAACCGCGAGCTTAGCAAGGTCGCGGGCGAGCGTTGGAGGGCCATGTCGGACGAGGAGAAGAGGAAGTTCGTGCTGGGTGCGGAAGTCGAGAAGGCGAAGCATGCAGAGATGTACCCCGGCTACAAGTACACGCCTGGTTCGTCGCCTCGCAAGGGAAAGCCCACGCCAAGGAGCCCCGGGAAGTCGCCCAAGAAGTCGCCCAGGAGCCACAGGGGCGTCGGTGGCTATGACACATGGTCGGAGTCGTCCAGTTCGTCTCGCGCGGAGAGCCCGAGGCGCGCGGTATTGTATCCATATAGAAGCCCTACCCCCGCCGCTTCTTCAAACTCGTCGTGCAGCTCTACGCCCGCTTCGTTGGGGTCTGTTCGGTCGCTACCGGGGAGCGACGCCTCAGACTTCGTGGAGGACGACGAGGAAGAGGATGTAGTGCATATCACAGAGCGCATGCCGCAGCTGTCCGTGGGCGACCCGTTGACGACGGTGCGTTGGATCCTGCTTCGTTTATCAGCGACTTCTCATCGGCTTTTCTAGGGTAAAAGACGCGAAATGCCGGAGATCACTCTGGGTGCGCTCAACGCGCTCTCCCGCGAAGGGTCTTTGGAACCCTACAACATCCAGTCCAATGGCGAGTATCGTTTGAACGAGCTGCCACCTCTGTCATCCTACTTTCCCGATCACTTGGGGAACCCCTCGGACTTCGCGTGGCCGGACGAGGACGAATACGGGTCACAGTGGTTGGGCCCGGCCTTCGAGTCCGACGAGGCCAGCGGAAGCATGCACGGACGTTTGACGACGCAGGACAGAGACGAGTCGGCGGGCATGTTTGAGCAATGGATCAAATACAACTAATGGGAAATTTGCAGCGCATTTTCTTCAATATCTATGACAATTATTTCTTCACTGTATAACACTCACCAGTATGCCTAGCGTTTATATTCCTAATAGCCTGTTGTATGTACCAGTTCATGGCGGTGTAACAGGCTCCTACCCATCCGCTCTCCAGCTATTTGCGCTCCAAACAGAGAGCGCCCGCGAGGCTGAATCCGAGTTGAATGGGATTTTGGGAAGATAGGGGAAGATACTGGATTAGGGAGATGGCGGTGCAAATAGAATAGTCCGAGGTATATCCGAATAGTGGGGGAGCGCGACGCTGGAGAGCGGCTGGCACAAAATGTAATTTGCAATTGCTGCCGGAGCTCGGCTCTGACACATATTCTCCCAGGGTAACTGAAGACCCAGCTTGGGGTCAACAACCGCGCGCGGGTAGCACAGCCACGTTACCAGTAAAGTCTGGATCCGGCTCATACTGCTGCAATCCCCTAGTAATCCCTGATAGAGGGTACACGATCCTGTCATCTACATAATAATGTTAGTTATTAGGCTCTTAAAGACCTAACTTAAGCCGGAGAGGGCGCCCTTGATTTCAGTGGTCGGAAACAATTGCTATGCATTGTCGAAAAAAGTGTGCGTCTCTGGATTGAACCCCGTCCTTACGAAAAAGGAAAGTCGCGAAATGCGACACGTTACCACTTCGTCAAATGCGCGCGTTGTCGGCGCGACTCCTTGTCATATATGACTTGCTGCAACGGTGGTCCGCTAAGCTCATGAGTTCATTTCACCATTCAACAATCCAAAGGGGTTGCATCAGTCCACGGAGTATGCCTTAGCACTCCTACACTCATCAACAAGAAAGGAATATGCTCGTTGTTGAGCGGATCTCACCTGGGGCTGTGCTACCCCCGCGCGGTTGTTGACCCCAAGCTGGGTCTTCAGTTACCCTGGGAGAATATGTGTCAGAGCCGAGCTCCGGCAGCAATTGCAAATTACATTTTGTGCCAGCCGCTCTCCAGCGTCGCGCTCCCCCACTATTCGGATATACCTCGCATCAACTCTACACTGCCACTCCCCCCTTTTGGATCATCCCCTAATGTTCTCAATTTCCTAATTTGGCATCCTCCTCCACCAAGAAACACGGATTCAGCCTTGCGGGCGCTCTCTGTTTGGAGCGCAAATAGCTGAAGAGTGGATGGGTCGGAGCCTGGCGGTGTAATACGAAGTGCCGACTGAAAGGCCCATAAACTTCCGGGTTGATGACGGGGGGGAACGGCAAGCGGGAGAAGGGATGACTTGCCTTTTCGGGACTGCACTCGTCTTTGCCGGCAGCCCTCGTCCTCGCCCGGCGAGACGGCAAACCACGGCGTTTGCACTGTCCATTCAACTTCTAGTCGTCTTCCTCCGACTGCATCCACTCCAAACCGTACCCAGATATGATCGGAAGACTCGTACACTACGGCGTCGACGCCGTTTTACTATCCACCGTGCTGGCAGGCGTACGGCGGTCGAGCGGTTTCTCGTACGTCTTTGGCATCATATGGAGATTATTCGACGTTTCACAGGGTATGCACAGACCCTCTACCGATGCTCTCAGCGACCCTACGTTCAAGTCGCTCGCCGACAAGTACCTCGGAGTTGGCGAGACGATATTCGATGTGATTCAAGCCACGGCCGTGAACAGCACGTTCTTCAAGAAGAGCAGCTGATCGACCTGTCCGAGTTGGGGTCTTGCTATAGACTGAGCGGGAGGGTGCATAATGCCGGTCACGATCATTATTTATCTGCTGTCGTGTGCGTGTATATGGAACCATTCAGCATAATCTCATCGCGCTACTCTTGCATATCAAGCCTTCCAACGTGCGCCCTCGAAGCCCCGCGTATGAAGTAGCGGGCCAGCGAAGGCTTGATGAACCACCAGACCACGTTCTGAAGTCCGATCCTTTGATTCTACAGCTACAATTGTACAGATGATCTGAGCAAGATACCCGAGGACTAGCGATTAGGGGGGTCGAGTACGTGTGCATTCGAAGGCGGAAGAGTATGTGCAGCAAAAAGACCAAGAGAATAATCGTTATCGTAAACGTGGTCGTGAATACGCGTGGTGCGATTCCTCTTGTGCAGGAGGAGGTCGACATTCGATGCAGCGGCGCAGTACACAATCTATGCTCCTTTTGAGTAGTTTCGGGACGAGGACGACACGCTAAACGAGATCCGGGTGTTTGGTTCTTGGCCGCGCTGTCGTCCTTGGCCCGTCCAGGGCGATCTCCTGCCCGCGAACGATCGATCCGTCTCGACCTCGCTTGACGAGCGTCGAGCCTAGCCCTCTGATGCGTCCAGAATGTCCGTCACGCTCTGCAAGAGCACCTTCGGCTTGAGCAGCACGCTCCGCTCGTGAATCGGCGCGGCTTTATCCGGGTCCACTCTGAGATGCGCACCAGCATGCTCATTCTCGCGCGCCTCTCCGTCGATAGCCAAGCTGCCCGCCCTCGGCGATGACCTTGGGCTCGCCCTCCGACTGACGCACACGAGCCCAAACTCGACGCCGCATAGCACCCTGCCGTCCTCCTCGACCGAAGCCGGAGTAAGAGCGGGAGGAGACTCCTTGATCGGCGACGACGGTCGGCTCATCTCGGGCGGCGGCGCGAACACGTCCGCCATCGCGCGCGGGTCGAAGCGCGCGCCCTCCTTCGCGACGCGCACGACGTCGAAAGTCCCGCTCATGATGCCCTCCCGGAGCGCGGTCGCGATCGTCGACGCGCGCGTGACTATCTGCTTGAGCTGCCCGCCGAAGCGTGCGCGGAGGTAATCGCGGTCGAGAGAGGGATGCTGGCTTGAGGGTAAGGACAAGGGGGCTGGGTTGGAAGTTGAAGATGAAGATGAGGAGGGCAGGGTATGGGTGGACGTGGACGGGGTGGGAGGGGCGGCGGAGCAGCCTGCGAGGGCCAGGATGGCGAGGATACCCCGAATGTGGACTGTGATGATGGTTTCGGGGTCGAGAAGCGAGGCTCGCGAGTGGCCATGCCGCGGAGAGTGGTTGGGTGACGCGGACGAGGACGTGAGGAGCGAGTGCGTGTATGCGTGCGTGAGCGACCGCCATCTGCAGGCCGCCGCCTGCGATTCTGTCATGTGAAATGACACCAATGAGCATCAGCAGAATCAAGTAGTGAAGAAAGTATAGACATACCGGACTTGAGCATATGCGCGAACAGGTTGTGCAGGAACTGGTCCACGTCGCCCGGCAGACCAAAGCAAAACGCACTGAAGACCTGCGCGCAGCAATGCACCTCCCACGCCTGGAGCGCGAGTCCGACGAGCATCGGGTCCGCTTTGTGGTCCCGGGTGAGCAACAGCTCCGCCATCGTCTTGCCTAGGCTGGCGCTAACGAGATCACGATCTCCTGCGCGCCACAGTTGGCGCTTCCGGTCCAGTGTACCCGCGAACTCGTCGGAAACGGCCGCACCGAGCTGGACGATCTCGTTATTGAGGTCCTTCACGGCCTGCACGACCTGCGCGCCCGTCCACGCATCTGTTTTATCGAGGAAAGACTTGAGCGTCGCAAGTTCCGACGTGGTAGCTTCGAGCGCGGTGGTGGTAGAAGAGTGCGAGGAGAGGAGGGCGGCGTTTTCAGTGCGCAGGTGGAGCAGCTCGGATTGAAGCGAGTGGAGGGATGTATGCGCATCGACGAGGGCTTGTTCCAACGCGGTTGCGCGGGACTGGGACAGGGTGAGCGTGGAGGAGATGTTGGAGAGGTCGTTCTGGGTGGAGGCGAGTTGACTGCGCGATGCGCTTAGGTCGTGCTCTAAGCTGGACACCCTCTCGAGCAACGCAGCATTATGCCTCTTAATGTTCTCGACCAGCCTCCTTTCTCGCTCCCGTTCGTGGTCAACTTCACCTCTTTCGAGCTGATCCCAGGAAGAGAAGGACGAATATGATTCGCGTCGTTCTCGATGACTTGTCCTGGATACCGAAGCGTCGTGTCGGTCCTTGATGCTATAGGTCCTTGTGCGGGACGGGGTGCCGTTAGGCGCGGTGCTGGACTGCGATCGGGCGCGCGACGGCGTGCTCGGCGCGCGCACGAGCTGCGCGGGACGCAGGGGGGCGTACTCCCTGAGCGAGGTCGCCAGACTGAGCTGCCGGTCTTCGCGCAATTGTATCGGACTCGAGGGCCAAATCCAATCGAGGAGGCCCCAAATCGTGTTCATTGAACTCTGTCACTGCTGGCCGAGAAGCAGAGGAGTGTGATTGTCTCCCGCTGTGTTGCACCGTCTATCTTTTCGGAGCCGGTGCCGTCGTAGATATGTTCCGCGTGCGGTCTTGGGAACGAGGATTGGATGAGGGCTATCTCATCGAGCGTGTTATCGGTGACGACTGAGGATGACGCCTTCAAAGAGGGAAACGAACATTAGATGCGGTTCATTGCACGAGCTCTGACGTGAAGCGAGCGCTTGGGACGACGACCACGGTCAGAGGGTGGAGGATGACGCGGACTTGGCTCGTCTGCGGATGAAGACGTGGCAAATGGCACACCGTGGCTAGCGCACGTACGAGGAAGCCCTTCACGGCGAACATGCGCAAACCGCGTGTTGATCAGGAGTTGAAGTTGGCTGGCTGGGTCAATCGCACACGATCCAAATTGACTTGTCGCATCTTAACAAAGGCCAGCTTACCAGAGAATTCTAGCTCAATGGTATGTGGCACAAGCAGAGCGAAAACAGTCTGGCTCAATAAGATGAAGACTAAAGCGGCGCCCTCGGCGATGAGCCTGAGGCACCCCTGACCAAAGTAGGATCAGCCCCTGACGGCCATATCAACGTCTTCGACTCCTTGCCTTTGACCACGATATCACGGTGGTGCAGCACGAGATTGGTGATATTTCGTCTTGCGGTTAGCGCTATCTTTTCCATTTGACCCTTATAGCAAGGAAGTTACGATCGCAGGTGCGACATGAACGTGGATTATCGCTGTATATACCCGTACTTTTATGCACATCGACAGTGTCAACCCCAACCGGCAATGCCTGTATTCAGGGTAGCCTCGGTACTTTCGCCGAGTTCAGGAATTGCCCCACGACGAACAATCTGCTCGTTTATATGCTGCTGGCGACCTCCTCAATAATGCGCCTCGCCATACGCATTGTAGCCAACGCCCCTCAGGTTCCAATCCATACTCGGCGCCTGAGTGATCCCGCTCTCGTCCGTCGCCTTGCACCATACGACTCTCTCTTCGTCGCTTGCCCCTTCCTGCGCAACGGGCACCGTCGCCCTCCAGAGCGTCCAACTCCACTTTCCCTCCTGATATGTGATCTCTGCCTCCCCCCACGTCTTCCCTCGATTCGCGCTCACCTCGACCCGCTTTACCTGCCCTCCTGCTGCACCGCTCACCGCATACCCCACCACCTCCAGTGTTCCGTCTTCTCGACGCAGTACCTCCCCGATCACAGAGTTTATGGGATTCGACTGCAGCGCAGGCAGCTTCGCCCACCAGCCCTCCTTATCCGCTTGTTCATGCGTCCGCACCGCCGTCGGGAGGATCTTGTAATCTTTTTGCTGGTAGAAGTTGTCCGATTCCCTGCGAGAGACCATGATGGTATCTAACCACTTGACCCAGCGCACACCGGAATAGCCGGGGACGACGATCCGCAGCGGGTAGCCGTGGTCAGGCGTCAAGGGCTCGTCGTTCATCTGGCATGAAAAGTCGGCGTCGGAAGCTGGGAAACATGGGAAGAAGCGCGAAGACGGACCTCATAGGCCAGCATCGCGCCGTCTTCGGCCTCCAGGGCCTTCTCGAGCGGTATCGACACCCCGTAACACGAGTCCTGCTGGCACTCGCCAGCGACGTGGGATGCAAAGCACACATGCATTCTCCCTTCGCATATCCCGTTCGCGCCATGGGTGGTTCCGGCGTTGGTGCCGTTATGGGTCGTCGGACGTAGCACACCGGCCATCGCCAGGACATCGCATAGCAGCGCGCCGCCCCAACGCGCGTTGCAGATCGCGGCGTCTTCCCATTTCAGGCCTTCCACATCCCTCCCGGATTTGATCGTCAGCGCCTTGCGACGGTTGCCTGCGCACTGAGCAAGTTCAGATGGGGGTGAACTCCGACGCGGCTGGTGGGGATGCTTGCCTGGAGCGCCGCCACCACCGTCCTCTTCGGAAGCTTCTTGATGTCTTCGAGGGTCAGCGTCAGAGGGTGTTCGACCTCTCCATCGACCGTCAGTTTGTACCCCTTCTCGTCGAACACTTTTACCGGACCTGTACGTATCGATGTTAGCGCGCCCCTGTCCATATTACCATTTTAGGAATCGCAGAACATACTATGATTCCGGCAGTATACGAGGTGCTCGGGCGTGATGGGGTACTTGACCAGCTCCTTAACGCATGGCTCGGCGTTGTACGGTTTGTCGTCACGGGTGAGGAGGGATGAGGAGTGGGGCGGCTCGTTAGTGTAATCCATGTTGTAGTCTTTGTGAGCTCGATCAGACGAAGGGTGGGTCCTTCATCTATTCGGCAGCTCGGTGTTCTTGAGAGATTGGAGCGGCGCGCAAGACGTTATCTGGCCACCCGACGTTGGGTAATTGAGCGTGCTATGAGAGGGCTGTGTGTCAGGTATTCGGAATTCGAGAGGCGTGCGGTGAGGACAGGTGGTCAGTGCCATTCGGAATTGGCTGTGGCAGGACAACGGCATGCATTCGGAATTGCGATGTATTGGGGGGTCGCGATCGTTATTACAGTGACCTGGGGTATCCATACAACAAGTTCGAGGGCGTGCACATCGCGCACTATTATAATGTTCCAGCATCGGCTTCATCCGAATGCGAGTCCTTCGATAAGATGGATAGACGGAAACGTTGTGCCGCCTAGAAATTAATGTCTTCCACCCCCTCCGCACATAAGCCGCAGCTAATACATTCCAAGCACGCGAGGCCGCCACAACACGCGCAGAGATAACCTGTTGGGGAAGGGTGTCGGTGAGACCAAGCGAATGGATAAGGTAACGACGTTATACGTACATGGGCAGCAAAGCGGGTTCTCGAACGCGCCGCGGCAGCACCACGCGCTGAGGCATACGGCAGCGATGAGGCAGAGGAATAAGCCCACGAAGACGATGATGAGGTACACTAGTCAACGCGTCCGATGGGTTAGTTGATACTCCGGAAGGTCCGAGGAGGTTTTCACATACGTTTGTTCTTCACGAATGTGCTCTGGCCGTCCCCATCCGTCGTGGTGTCCCGCCTCCACATGGTGCCCCAGCCGTCGTCCTCCGAACCCGGACCTCCTGCCACGCACTGGCTCACAGTGAGAAATATGAGGCCCGCAACGGCGACAAGCGCGAAAACGAGGGAGAATATCAGTCGCCGCGTGCGTGCGCGGTGGCATTGCGGGTGGGTTTGCGCATGGGAGCCGCCACAGCTGCACTGGGACGTCTCGCAGACGTCTAGGACTATATGCGAGCCGTCGATTTCGCCTAGTTTCTCAGTAGACATGGATGCCTGCGGGAGCGGCTGGTAGGCATGGCGGTGGGGAGCGGGCATCGTTGCGCTGCTGGTTTTCGTTGGGGAGATCGTGGTTGCGGTAGGGTTGAAAGACGCGGGTCGGTCGCCCAAGCAAGGGAATCAAGTGTTTGGTGGCATCGCAACTAAGTAGAACCCTTTATACCTTCCTAGTTCATGCAACTGGTCGCGCGCCCGCCGGTATGCGCAGTAGCCTGCTGCGGAGGCTGTACGGGACGTGTCGTGTACAGCTTCCAGTGCCAAGACAATTCAGTGTCACCTTTCGCCTGTTCTCTGCTCTTGGGCGCTCTGATTGACCTGCGTATTGCGATGAGGACATGGATTGAATATGACAGAACGCACTTGTTTATGTGATGCTCCGGTCTGGGAGGCTTGAGGCCACAATAAAGACGCGTTGGAATTTTTGTGGCCGGACGTTTCTTGCTCTCCTCCTGATTTGACATGGGCAACTCCCTCTCCTGGCTGTCCTGGGCGGCCGACGCTTTCATCCCGCACCGCCCGTCCGAAACCCCTGGTGAGGAATCTGGCGCGACCTGGCGCAAGAAGGCGGGCGAAGAAGCGCGCCTGCGCAGCAGCGCATTCGACGAGTCCCAGCGCGCATACACGCTGGGCCGACGCGCGGAAGCGAAAGAGGTACGGCTTTTTGCTGTATCCCGCGCATATAGCTAAACAGAATGAAACAGTTGAGCGATAAGGGCAAAGAGCACAAGCGCAAGATGGAGCAATACAATGCAAAGGCCGCAGACGAAATCTTTGCGCACTACAACCCGCTGCTCCTCACTTCGTCCCCGACGCCGGACGCCCTCGCGCAGGTCGACTTCCACGGTCTCTTCGTCACCGAGTCGCTCGCGCGCGCGAGGGCGCACGTCGCCGCCTGCCGCCGCCAGAGCGTGAAGCGCACGGTGTTCATCACCGGGCGCGGCAATCGTTCCGCGGGTGGACTCGCCAAGATCAAGCCCGCCATGGAGGACTTCCTCAAGAGCGAAAATTTGGTCGCGTACATGGACGTTCCCAACGCGGGTTGCATCACGGTCGACATCGACGTCAAGGACAAAGCGCCCGGGTGGGGCGACTCCTGTGTGGTGATGTGAACACCCATTCCCACTGCCGCAGCCTATCTACAACCAGAAGTGCCTCTTTTCTTGGAACGATATATAGCTTCAACAGCTCGCTCGTACAGCCGTTCATTTCGGCTGCGGCGGCGAGATACCGCGACCCACGGCTCAACTCTACTTTCTTTATCGCGCGTGGCACGTGATTTTCTCGGCACCATTTATACCGCGTCGCGCCGCAATTACTCAGATCCGCAGTGGGTCTGGAGTGGTGTCGCCCATCTACCACCGTCACTGGTCCCCTCACGCAGAATCCACTGCACCACTGCCTCGTTCGGGACGGCCCACGTCGTCCAAGCCCTCCTCGATCCTTGATCAGCAACTATGCCCCTGTTATCAGCAGAGTCCTTTGCGCGGCCGCGTAAGGGCCCGCTCAAGCACGCCGACCCGTTGATCGCTCAGTACCGCCGCGCGCTTGAACAGGCGCACGTTGAACATGACAGGCTCACCAAGTGGAGGGAGACCATGCCGAAGGAAATGGATGGTTCCGCGGCGGAGGCGGAGGTCCTCGACCGTCTGAAGCAGGTCGAGGTGCTCATTGGTACGTCGCCTTCGCTTCCTTCCCTCCGCCGAGGCTCTGGTACTTACGCTCCCGTTGTCATGCAGTCACGATACCGAAACGAATCCACGATTGCCAGCTCACCTACGCCTCCATGCGCCTCGGCAGTTCGAACCTTGCTCGTCCACCCGCACCGCCGGATTACGGCCGACTTTGGGCTGAGAACCCCGTACCGTCGTCAGCGTCCTTGCACCGGAGCGTGTCCCGACCCGGGGAAGGCAGCTCGTCTGGCTCGAGCGTTGCCGTTCCCGGCCTGCCCGCATACGAAGACGCCCCTCCTTCCTACCACCACTCGGTTACCGTTTGACTGTATCATTTCCCTTTGTATCATTCGGTGATCCGCCAACGAAAGTTGGGAGGTTGAGATGCAGAACTCTAGATGCTGGACGATATGTTCCCGACGTGCCGTAGTCACCGAGCGACGCAGAAGGAGGTCATTGATCAGCAGCGAGAAAGTCGCATAGATCCAGCTGTACTCTACATCAGATCATGACATTGTAACAGTAGAATCGTTGGTCCACTTGAAGGCTTCAATGAACTTCGCACTATCGTGCTCGCTGACGGGAATCCCCTTCTCCTTCAATCGTCCGATGAGCTGCCGCGATGTACCTTGAGCTCGCAACCTAGACAGAGGCGGGTCGGCCCATGCCGCGTTGCACGACCCGTTACGGACGAGTGACTTCGATTCTGGGCCAACGCCCAGCACTCCGTCGACATCAGACGGGACACCGAACAGACTCTTGTTATCTCCCGGCACCCAAACTGGATGAATCACTAATCAGCCCCGTGTACATCGTACCACCTCCGCGTGGAACAGCAAATTGATCGACGTACGGAATGCTTGGTCCGCAATGTCGTTGCTGCCTAAACGCAGGTCTACGGTTTGAATGCCCACTAGGATGATGATGAATACACGATTTCGCTTCCTGCCAAGGCTCACATACAAGTAACGGATGTCCCTGATGCGATCAGCAGACTAATGTTCTGTCCTGTTCCCTTCATTCCGGCCGGTTGGACACCGAACATCCAAAAGTCGGCGCTGCGAGCGAGGGATGTGAATGCGAACCAGTCAAAACGCTCCTGGACGGTGAGCCCTCACCTTCCCGAATCCAAGAGGATTGTGTAGCTCTCGCCGCCTAGAGTCACATTGACCATCACTGGTTGCGGAGTGAGCCCCCCTACGCTTGCCGGCCGGGCGTGATCGCCAGGATCAAAGTCAACGTCGGATTGTTGGTCAACGCTGTCAACGCAGTCCTCGTCTCCACGCCGGGCATGATCCCCAGGATCGCAGTCAGCCTCTGACTGTTGGATAGCGTTGCCTACAAAGTCCTCTCCGTCCGCATCTCGTTCCCTATCAACAAAAGGCCCAGAGAAAGCAGATCTTCGAGGTACCCTTTGTTCTGGAGAGCCAGGTCCGGATGACACGCCCACGCTGGAGGGGCGACCGTGCGCATAAACAACCGTGAACAGGGCGAAGGATAGTAGCAGCAAAAATGGCGGGAGCATCGCGTTGGTCGGATTGAGAATTGCGATCATTGGCGTTATACGTGTGCTTGAGGATGATCGGGTGAACAGGGTGATTGGCCTGGTTGAAACGCGAACATGAAGACCATGACTCTCCGTTCGCGACGGAGCCGCGGATCAATGGAAGTATTCGGACACGAGCTACAGCGCGCAGGAGCGCCTGTGAACCCGTTGTCCGAGGCGCGGTTCCGCGAGCGTGAGTACGGCAGGGTTCAGCTCGCAGTCGCGTTACTTTGGGATCCGACCATACCAGCGTCTAGGATGACAGCGGGCACGGAGCATCAGCAACAACTGCCAGTTGACGACTCAAGACCACTAGTGGAGACTGGATGAGGTCTTGCTTACAGGCCATGATATGACTGGGACTATGACATTGAGACGCAGGTCCAATACAATTGCGCGCCACCGCCAGGGGTTCGGGGCTATCCTATCCGAATTATACCGGGAGGGGTACGAGGAAAGCAGTCGAGTCTTCCGGTATCCGCGTGAAGGCGGTGAATGCGCTCGTCGCATTTGGTACGCTTTGTAGCCCGCAGCTCTTGACAAAGTCCCCGGAGGCATGGGCCCGAGTCTCATCCACGTACTTCGCAAAGGACGCGAGAGAGCAGCTCGAACCAGGACCGGAGGTGCACCCCGGTATCGCTACCGGTGCGTTGTCCACCTGCATATGAAACATTCAATGCGCGTGCGTGCGACATGATGCGGTAGGGGGCACATACCCGTACGCGAACATACTTCTTGGCGTTCACTCCCTTGCCCGGAGTGACGACCACTTGGTTTGCAGTGTGGTGCACGCTCTTCCCGAGAGGCTGTTCACACGACAGGCGCTCGAGCGCGACGTATCCCCGGAAAGCAACGAGATTGGATGCGCGGAAGTGCCGCGCCGGATTTGGCTTCACGAGCGAAAGAGGTGAAACGTCGGAAGCGTTCCAGAGGCCGAGGGCGGAGATGATAGGTGGGAGGTTGTTGTCATGCTGCAGAGGAAGGCAAGACGTATGAACGGCGTTACGATGCACCATAGAGGCGGGAAAAGCACACCGTGAAGCTCATGAGGAGAGGAGGGGGCGTGAACGTGCCATCTGACGTGGTCTTGTTGGGGCCGAGGACGAAGAGGTCCGTGACAGCCCTCACCCATGGGAAGCCGGTCGTTGCTGAGAAGGGGTTCCCAGGACCGGAACTGTGGAATCGTAAGATATGACAACGACCGCGACGATATCTATACATGAACATAGAACGTACCCATAGTAGTAGTTGAGGTCATGAGCGTATTCGTAGTCGAGCCATTCAGACTCTGTCGCGATAGTGAGCAACATGACAGATCCGGGCGTCATGACCAAACGTACCTTCAAACACGTCGCAAAACCTCGAATCTCCATTCACTTCCGTTTGGAACCCGCATAGATCCTGCATCGGCCCGATACTTGTCGAGTTCAGGGTCAATCCGTCCAGGAACTTGTTCAGCCGCTTGGCGATACTGGGCTGATAATTCGCCCTGAACGTGGTCGCGACCGCAGACCGATCCCCAGACGAGTACGATGGACAGGCGGAAGACGGGGTGAGCGAGTTGGCGAACGTGTAGTTCACCGAGTCCGGTAGAGAAATGATAGTGCCACGATTTTCTGAGGTATTGGAGAGGTAGTTGCCCTGCGATAGATATCCCTGAACGAAGTAGTTGGCGGTGTCAATGACGCGTTGTTGTCCTGCGGACCTGTACGAGCGATGTCAGTAACTATTGCACAACGCATGTTGTGGATCCATGGTACCAGACAGTGATGTTGCTTCCTCCTGGAGTCAAACCGTAGCGTTTACGGAGCTCCATACCAAGTGAAAAGGCTTCTCCGGCACCCTATACAACAAGAGACGCCATTGAACAGCCGCAATAATCGCCCGAGGTTATGTAAAGACGTACTGTCGAGCTCAGGAAGAGCGGTTCGTGGGGCTGGTCATCGACGGGTAGTGTCCACGATGGAATGAACGCCAAAGGACCGCTGGCGGTATAACTCGAGTTCTAGGTGGTATTCTGTCTCGGTTACATAACTACTGGTGGCTCAATGCACGTACCTGGAACGTGGTGAACAGACTCTGCCATCCCGCGAATGACCCAGGTTCAGGGTAACGCCTTGCACATACCATAAGCAACGGATGTATAAAGGCACACGAACGGACGTACGAGCCATGGCGGACGATGTATGCTGCCTGATCCACGATGCAGCCTGCAGGGGTTTCAACCGGTATGTCATCTTGCGGCGGCGCGTCGAAGTAAGGCGAAGCCGGTCCCGAATGATGCAAGGGGTTGAACGCTGAAGCAACCAGAGTTGCGTACAGTGTAGCGACTGCCAGACCACTGAGCATGTTCGTTGGTCCCCTTCACCGGCGCAGTTCCTTCGAAGATCGAGTTTTGTTCATCGAACGTAACTCCCAGGTGATTATACGTTGGTCCATGTTCCAATAGGAACAGCCGGTGCCTGAGAGCCTCGTGTATGTCTACGGTCGTGCTTCGTCTGAGTGGAAGATAGAGAAGACACCTCTCAACGCACGCACGCACGTTTGCAGAGGCGAGCAAGGACATCTCTTGGATGATCGCGCCGTCGCCGGCCGGCCCGGCAAATCCCGACAAGGGGAAGATAGCAAGCACTTCGTTGAATTTCCGGTAGTACAGTGGTTCTATGTATGCCTGCACAAGTACAAAACCCAGGTAAACGGCACATAAATACCTTTTTGCGTCATGTGTCATGAGAAAGAAAGAGCGTGGTCATGTGCGGAGGGTATAGATCTGATGAACGAATCGCGCGCTCAAAGGCGGAAGAAGCGCGAGCTCTTCGTGTTCGCGGCGGCGGAGGCGCTCTCCACAGCCGCAGAGCCCGTCCTTGCTGCGGAGGCGGTCTTGACGGCGCTGGATGGGCCCTTGAGAGTGGGAGCCGCCGCGCTGGAAACCGCAGCAGAGCCCGAGGTCTTGGCGGAAGCAGATGAAACGTGCGAAGCGGCTGAGGCGGGCGTGAGCGACGCTTCCGGGGCAGCACCTTTGACAGGGCCTGCGGTTGTGCAGGCACCATCGTCGGTCCAGTCTCCGGCAACACCTGGGTGCCGTCACGTCAGTGTTCTGGATCTCCCGACCTCAGAAATATGGCGCCAATCGTGCTCACCGCCAGGTTGCTAAGGAAGTTGGCATCAGAATTGGGATTGAGGTAGAATGTGTATGGCACTCACGTCCGCTTCAGTCCACCACTTGGCTGTCCAGAGGTGACCGCTACACGAGGGTCAGCTTCGAACAGATGCAAATCAAACAGTCATTCGTACTTGAACGTGACTTGCTCTCCACCGGTGTACTATGACAGTCAAAAATATCAGCTACTCCGTCATACAAAGGAGCCTAGAGGGACGTACCGCTACGTTGCTCTGCCAAGCAGCGACGCCTGCACAGCTCCCACTTGTAGCGGTGCTCGTCGTAGTGGAGGGAGCGGACGAGGTTGTAGTCGAAGTAGAGGCCGGCTTCGAGGTCGTCGAAGTGGTCTTAGAGGTCGAGGTGCTCGTGGTGCTCGTCTTGCTGCTGCTCACCGTAGAACTCGTCGGGACCGAAGAGCCACCATTGGTCAACGCGCTCTTGACAGCGAGATCGTACCGGCCGTTGGCTGAAGGGCTTTCAGCAACGCCCACACCCGAACCTATCTGATTATCATACCGAATGCCTGCGACGCATCCCATAGCATCTGAAAACGTGTGGTCAGAAGCAGGCGGCTGATTGACGGCGGCTGATAAACTCACCACACCGCCGAAAGACGAGAACTGGCTACGCGTCTGCGAGATGATGCTCGCCAATGTCGTGGAGTCGACGTATCCAGAGCCAGCTGCAGTAGGGGACGCAGGAGCGCCTATGAAAATCTTGACGTTCTTGTTCGGTGACGTCGTCTTTGCCCAGTTGTCCCTGGATCCGCGTCAGGGTCCCGGTTTGCTGCTGATCTAGTTTCAGGAATCTGGCTCACCAAGTTGCGAAGTTCCAGTCCTTGACGACAGGTGGTTTCAGCATGATTCTATCAACGATGCGCAGGGAGATGTTGAGAAGGCACGTACATTGGGGTTGTCGAAGTTGGTGAGACCACAGAAGTTGTTATCTATGATGTCATTAGTATGGAATGTCGCCATACTATGCATTGGAACTTGCAGAATTGAACGTAAAGAGCGTCGAACCCAACGCTGTTGATGACCTAGTATGTCCCGATCAAAATCAGGCACAGACGTCGAACGAGACCGCAGGGTACGTACGGAGCCAAGGAATGCGTCAGGGAAGGGACATTGGGGGGCCCCGGTGATATAGTAGGTCTTGCTTGCTCCAGCGGCCAGAGTGCGAATCTGGGTGACGAAGGCTGCGAGACCTGTGCTTCCACCTCCTTCGATGTCAAGGTCGATACTAGTTGACAGTGGTCAGAGGATAATCTCGCTGAGCATGCACACGAGACTCACCCATCTAGCACGGCAGCTCCGAATGGACGGATGTCCGAAGTACCGCCAAGGAAGAGGTTCCAGATCTGCGTCGCGAACGCCTGCGCTTGGGCGTCAGAAGTGAAAGTGGCCGCACCGGTGGCACCTTGGCGAAACCGTTTAGCAAAGACTCGATGTATCTCCATAATCTGAGCCCTCACCGCCCATGCTGAGCGTTACGATCTTGCCCTTCGCCTGGCACGCTTGGATGTCTGCGGCCATGAACTGACAGTTGGGAAGGTCGGTCCCGGAAAAGACGGGGTTGTCGACGTCATTGCAGGTCTGCGGCCGGGCCCGAGTCAATAACAATAGAAAGAAGCATGGCAACAGCGCGAACTTACGTTGGCAAGGTTGATGGACGGCTCGCCGCCAGTCCCGAAGAACACGTCCAAGAATGCAACTGCAAGCCCGTAGAGGTGAGTTTTGTCGAGGATCCCCCGAGGTTGACGATTCCCAAAGCTACTTACGCGGGAACGCGTTGATGGTGTCGTCCTGCGATGGCTCGATTAGTTTTTGGCGACGCGAGGACTCGGCGAAGATGCACCGACCTGACAGTACGTCGAGAGAGCTTGCTGCCAGTTGGCCTCGTCGTTCGGATGGGTGGCTCCGTAAGAGTTCTGGCCGTAGTACCTGCACGGCGAAGTCAAGGACCGCAAATGATATGATGAGCGGATCGGCACACATACACTGCAAGCTGAAGACGGCGGGTCAGACGCCATCGATGTATAGCATACATGAGCGACTCACGTTGTCATTCCTCGAGGCATCGTACGCGTGTCCTTCACCACCGAAGACGAGAAGCAAGAGGGCTGTTTGCAGAAGTGCTAACATCGCGGACCGCGCTGTGCAAGGAATGCCAGTGACCGAGGGCTCTGGAGGGAGCTTAACCAGTCCCGGCGGCGGGTCGGGGGCATTTTATGTCTCGGGGGCCAGAAGACCAGAAGGGCAGGGCACCATACGAGGCACCAGCTCAGATAGGGGCACGGTTTTTGGACCGTTCGTGTTCCGCGTGGAACACCACCATTCGTCGAGAAAGGCTGGGGAGTACCCACAAAAAGCACATCCAGCGCGATGCCGCGATGGATGGATCGGTACAGAACGCCATGCTAGCACTCGCGGTTTCGCCGGATATGGTGGTCCACCGCATCATCTGCACGGCAAAGGCTCTGGGATCAGAAGAAGTTTTTCTGGTCGGCGACCCATGTTAGTCCATGACCCGCTGGCGCATGATGTGAGACCTGCGACCGAAGAGCCCGGTAGCGCTTCTGTGCGCTGTTCCGGAGATGCGATGCTGCGTCGATGCGCCCAAGGCTGTCGGCAGTACGAGCGCAGAACGGGTCATCAGAGTGCATCAAGTTGGTAGCTGGAGGTAGTGTCAGGCATCGAAAAGGTCCTATTCGAGATAAGGAGCGCATGGGGCTCGCCCCTTCGTCCTGCTTTTGGGCATACGACGAGCTTCTCGCAACTGAAATTAGGCTTCAGAAGACACTTCGGCATCTCGAGATATCTGCAGTTTCCCGACGCCGGAGCGAGCACGGAGAGCACCTGCTCTCACACAACGTTTTCCGGCGTTGTCATGCGCTGAATTGTCGTGCAAATCTGTTCCCGGCGTCCGTCCTGCACCCGTTTCCGATGGGGAGAAATCGCAGATATCGTGGGATGTCTCGAGCTGTTATCGGAATGTTCACAGAGAGTATCAGTCGCAGAACAATATCCAGATGGCGAGCGAAGTCGAGAAGCGATCTGAGCTGCAGCACAACCTCGTCATTCGGTAACCTCGAGAGTCTGAGACCACCGCCACCCCGCGGCCCATCCGGAGATCACGTGTGTCTCGGAGATCTCCTCCGGTGCCGGCTCGACGCCGGAGCCATCGATGCTGGCAGCGTGCTTGCTTTACTGTATGACGCTCAACGTGGTTCACAATGGTCAAGGCCACTGAAAAGCGCATCTATTTCACTCGACACGCTCAAGCCGAGCACAAGTAGGCTCAATGCCTGAATCCTTCCACTACCCGGCGCTGATGATGATCATGTAGCGTTGCCGAGGACTATTCTAGTGAGCGCACAGTGGCACTGATATTGTAAGAGGAATATGCTGATGGATCGGGGCAGTCCGCGATGCTCCCTTGACTGCGCTCGGAAGGGAACAATCCAAGGCTCTGAACGAGGCTACCCAGGACGGTATCCAGAAGACCGCCGAGCTGTTGGTAACGAGCGGGATGAGACGGCCAATGTCCACCATGATCTTGGGCTTCCCGGAGCTACGGAAGCGTCTGGAGGCTGAGGGCAAGCCCGTCATCGTCCTAGCGTCTCTCCAAGAGGTGCGCGCCGTCGGCGAGTTCGAGGAGATACGCGGCTAATCCGTTCCCGATGGCAAAGTGCAACGCCCACCCATGTGATTGCGGTTCCGTGAGTATTCGCACCGAGACCACGCGCCTGGAGATATGGATCGTTGACCGCGCCCTTTTGAATTTGGGTTTGGGCAGTCGCGTGAGGAGTTGGAAGCGGATCCGGAATACGCCGGGCTCGACCTCAGCGACCTCAAGCCGGATTGGAACTCCAAGAAAGGGTTCTATGCCACCGACGTGGCCAGTCTCCAGGCCAGAGCTCGCTGGAATAGGCGCTGGCTGCGTGGCCGCCCGGAGAAAGAGATCGTGGTCGTTGCGCATGGCGACTGCTTGAGATACATCACGGACGGCTGGAACTCCGGCAAGCCGTGGGCGAACACCGGTAAAGCTGCTGCGTCCGTCGTGAACAACTCCACTGCTAATGGTTGTTCGATGCAGAGGTTCGGGCCTACACTTTCGCATCGGAAGACGACGACGACGCGAAGCTCATTCCGCTCGGGAAGACTGCGCAGGAGGGAACTGACGAACCGACGTCCTCTGGGTTCACACCGGGGTCTTCCACATACTAGACATTGCCTAAGTAGAGAGCACTCGGCATAGAAGTCAGAACACAGACATGTTAGAGCTGCTGAGGTACACATTTTATCTGGTCCAATTTCGGTGACCATCCTTCCTCCCTCGTTACCCTGGAGCTCGCATTCGTTCATATCTGCAAATGCATCGCCACCCAGTTCAGAGAGTACGGTGAATCTTGCTGCGGCGACGTTCTTGAGGGTAGTCTGGTCGCTGACGTCCAGAAAGTAAGGTTTGGCTCATGCACGATCCGGGAACATCACGTGATATGTGTGACATTCCAAAAAAGGCTATTCGTCGTCGCCGTCGTCGCTGCTCGCTGCTCACTGTTCTGGCCTCTATGGATGACTAGCACCTAGTATATGAACTGTCCAAGTGTCTGACTCCATCAAAAATGCGCATCGGCACGAAATCGGAGCGAATACACCGAGAAAAAAGCAGGCAATCTGGGCAGCAAAGAAGTAAGATAGGGCTCATTCAGTTTCAACAGGCGTGATAAGTGCTGCGCAGCGAATTCCACTCGCTACGGGGCACACTCTCTAAATCTAAAACCACAATTCTCTTTGAATGCACATTATCTTGAAATCTGTGGCGGCGATTTCTGTGAATTTTGAGCGTAGAATATTTTATTCGACTAGCAAGACCCGTGGGACCTGTTGAAACTGAATGAGCCCTATCTTATAGTTCGCATCGTATTCTTCCGGATTCCGTCATACAAGAGCTTGATGGGTGGACGCTATGATAGTTCGATGTAGGATTGACTCGATGCGATGCTAGCTTGCGTCCCATCCACAATTTTACCAAATCGGGACTGTGACCGTGATGTGACTGCCTTCACGTGATGTTCCCGGATCGTGCATGAGCCAAACCTTAGCTTAGACCCGGAACTTAGCACGTGCCGCAGTCTGTCGCTTGCAAGCCCCTGCGGGCTGTCTCTCGACCTCACTCTAGTTCTCGTTCAACCACTGTACCAGACATGGGGGCTCTGATTTCGCTACCCTTCGCCGGGGTGCTAGGAACTGTGGGTTCATCATGCCTCGCGGGTGTTGCATTCTGTTTTACGTCGACCGCCGGTGAGCAGGATTCCGTGGCCTTTGGGCTGGTGCAAGCGTCTGAAGCTGGTATTGATGGACTTGCCTGACGTCCAGCGTCGATGTTCACAAAGAGTTGCAACTGCAATAGCTCCATTGCAACCCGTGTTGCCTTCGCTGTGAGATCCCTCCTCCAACTCGAGTTTGGACACCCACTGAATCGATACGGAACGCTGCAGCTGATCTTTGCGTTGAACTCCATGCTGGCGTGGTTCATGAAGACGCGGATTGCTATTGACCTCATTCGGAAATGGAGCTACGACTATATCAAGATGGATTGCGAGGGTGGCAAGTGCTATGGAGTGCTCGCGGTACGCTTCGCATACGGGACATACTGCCGCTCTTGCTTATGTCCCCTTGACAGGTCCACCGCATTTGCTTTTCTCTGGCGCTGTTTCACTTCCTTGTCGGGCTGTCATTGATTGGCGTGAAGGATACGAAGGACAAACGGGCTGCTATCCAGAACGGGTGGGTATTACGTGCACTTTGGCTGTTGCTGAACCTGACGATATGCACACAGTTGGTGGGGCCCGAAGGTCCTGCTTTGGTTAGTTCTGGTCGTCGTCTCGTTCTTCATCCCGAATGGTTTCTTCATGTTCTGGGGGAACTACATCGCCCTCATCGGCGCCACGCTCTTCATCCTCCTCGGCCTCGTCCTGCTCGTCGACTTCGCCCACTCCTGGACCGAGACATGCCTCCAGAACTGGGAAAACTCCGACTCGGGCCTCTGGCAATGGATACTGATCGGCACGACTGCCGGCGCATACGTGGGCACGATCGCGCTCACCGGCGTCCTCTACGGCTTCTTCGCCAAGTCTGGCTGCGGCCTCAACCAGTTCTTCATCTCCACGAATCTCGCGCTGTGCGTCATCATCACCGCACTATGCATCCACCCGCGCGTGCAGGAAGCCAATCCGCGTTCCGGCCTCGCCCAGTCCGGCATGGTCGCCGCGTACTGCACCTACCTCATCATGTCCGCTATAGGTAACCACCGGCACGAGAGCTGCAACCCGCTCCGAGGTGGAACAGGTACGACTACCGTCGTCCTGGGGGCGGCCTTCACGTTCCTTGCGATCGCGTACTCAACCACGAGGGCTGCGACTCAGAGCCGCGCGCTGGTAGGGAAGAGGCGGGATTACGGCGCCGTGCAGCTCCCGCATGACGATGACGTGCTTCATCATTCGGAGATGGGTGTGGTGAACACACAACCGAGTCGAACGGAGAACCCACGCTACCAAGCCCTACTTGCAGCCGTGGAAGCGGGGTAAGTTTTCGGCTTGCACGTGGATGCCCAGTTGCTGACCAAACGAACTAGAGCCATTCCTGCTTCTGCGCTGGAGGAAGAAGAAGACGAGGACGATGATGAAGGGGTTGTCGGCGAACTTCGTGATGATGAACGTTCGGGAACCCGCTACAATGTCCGTATATCAGGCCTTCTCTCTGGATTATGATCTCAATCGGCTGGGTACAGTATGCCTGGTTCCATGTCATCTTCGCAATAGCGGCCATGTATGTGGCCATGCTCCTCACCGATTGGTAAGTCTTGCGCCACAGCTGTTTCTGTGAATCTCGTTATATTCATCACTTTTCTCCAGGAACGTCGTGAAGGAAGACAAGAAAGACCCCGACCAAGACGTCTACATTGGTCGATCGGAAACAGCGATGTGGATGCGTGTGGTGTCGAGCTGGGTATGCATGCTACTGTACATCTGGAGCCTGATTGCACCCGTCGTCATGCCCGATAGGTGAGCTTGGGTGTGGTAATATCGGCTCTCATCTTTGCTGACAGGAATCTGCACTCTAGGTTCGGCGACCTTTAATCATGGACATTTGTATGATATTGTACGTGTAGTATGTTAATTCCAACAGTCTAACCTGGAGGGAGCATTATTTCGGCAAAACGAATTTCCCTCATCAGCCCCGTCATCCTCGAAAAGAGACAGTGTCCTTGATATGTATATGAACCACCAACCTCTCCGCACGTGTTATGCGGATATCTGCTACGAACCCCGCTTGCAGAATATCTGAAGCAGGCCAAAATTTCGGGCGCGATGGTACAGGATCGAAAGCCCACAGCCGGCTTGTGACATTGGAAGCTGCATCTCAGCAGCTTTTATTGCGTTTTGTCTTCCTCATCGTGCTTCTATCACAAGCGGTGCACGATCCCCAGTAAGTCATAATTATCATTACAAGCTACAGACCTTCGTTGATAGATGGTCCAACGCAGACTTCGCATTGAAATGATCACATCCGCATTCATGCCACTCGCGGATGTTCCGAAGGAGCGATTCCAAGAAACGTGAAAGTACAGAACTCGCCGATGGCACGGAAAGACAATGATAGAAGTACGCTTCATACCCCATGCAGCCTCCACAGTGCGAAGATAGCCATTCACCCTGCTACAACGTGCTGTTTCATACTCACGTCTGTCATGGCTGCCGAGTGATATGCACGGGAATGATGCTCGGCGGAGGCCCTGCTCCGTCCCAAGCGTCCCCGTCCGCGCACAGCCTTCGCAAATCGAAGAGGATCCGGTATACTTGTCTCTTGTCCGATCATTTTGAACTCCCTCTTTGACTCCTTTCAGGATGGACTTGCCCCAAGGAGCTTTGGATTACGCCGACAATCGTGGCTCGTCGAAGTGCGGCACAATCAGAAACCCAACCCCAACAAGCAATCGGCATACTCGACATATAAAAGGCCTCAGCTTCAGCCATTGCATACCTCAGGGCCATCTCCAGG